ACCGCGGGCAGGACACGGCGCCGGCGCGGTCTGTCCCTCTGGCTCAGCCCCCGAGCTCGCGCTGGCTCCAGGGAACCCCGGGGCACCTGTGAGGGCGGGTCAGAGTCGGCGTCCTAGGGGGGTCAGCTTTGACCGAACCCGGATGGTGTGCATGTCGTGGCCAACCGTGCTGCCTGGTGTGGGGTGAAAGCTCACCCCAAACAAGACTCACAACACTAGACTCCAGCACGCTGGGTCAGAAACGCCACCCCTGTGCAAGTGGGCCAGGGCATGGCTCTCCCAGGGCCGCTCGGGAAGTCCACGGCAGCTGCCGGGCAAGCGCCCAGCGGGTGGAGGGATGGCCGGAGAGCTCAGTTCTGAGTGCTGCCCTGCGGGGCCTCCGAGGGGCCCCCTGCCCCTGCGGGCGCCAGCCCCCCGGGGCCGCGTCTGGCATCCTGGCGGAGGTCTTGCCGGCAGAGCCTGCTGGGTGGGCGGCCTCTCCTGCTTTCAGAATATTCTGGCTGTTTCTTCTGGGGTTGCAGACGATGAAGGACACGTCCCCGGCAGACCGCCGCCCACCAGGCCTGTTCCACAAACCTGAGCCGCCAGGACTTGATCTTGCAAAACCTGCCCCAGCCCGGGAAGCTGCCCCGGAAGCGGAGGGCCCGGCTGGGATGTGAGCTGAAGCCACGCCGGGGAGGTCAGCGGGGGGCCCGAGCCTCCGCCCTGCTCCGAACACCCGTCCCCGAACCCTCGGACAGGCCCCCCTTGAGTAAGAAGGCCGCCCCCCACAACTGCCCCAAAGCCCAAGGACGGAGGCCCCAGTCAGATCTCAGATTGACCCCGGTCCTCCCTGGGGCAGGCCCGGGCCAGGATCCCCAGCAGTCAGGGCGCCCCAGCCTGCCTGAACAGACTGGGCGTGGGCACCTGAAGACCCCCGGCAGGGGCCCAGCAGTGCCACTGGAGGTGACCCCCCCCCCACTGTGCGGGAGAGCACGCGCCGGCCGCCCCACCGCGCCGACAGACGGGCCCTTCTTGGCCGAGGTGCAGCATGAGGTCTGGTCGCGTGGACCGGACCGTCCCCGGGGTGCAGCAGCACCAGCTCTGCAGGCTCCAATGAACCCGCCAAGGGCCGCCGGTCCAGGAGAGGGAGCCCTCTGTGTCCATCACCGCAGCGGCCTGCAGCTGGGGGGCGGCCTTGCCTGAAGCCAGGTAATTCCTGCTCACCGGGGCCGGCAGCCACCGGAGGACGGCGCCCCCAGCCCTGCGGCCCCTGCTGACCAGCCGCTGCCCTGAGCCGCGGGCCCTGCCGCCTCCTCCCGAACCGGGGTCAAATCCAGAGCGCCGGCCCCCAAGTGCCCGGAGGGCAACACGAGGGTCACTCGGGGCATTTGGCCACAGCGAGTAGAACACTGGACACCGGGCCCTCCCCTCTGCCCTGCCAGGGGGCATTCTGCCCCAGCCCCTCCCTGCGGCGGGTCTCCTGCTCGGGCAGCACCCCCTCCCGCAGTTCCGAGGCTGAAGCCCAACTCCTAAGGAGACCCCACTGGGGGGTCGGCAGTTTTCATGAGGCCACAGAGGGGGTGCGCGATGGGTCCTGATGAGGGGACACCGGGCCTCTGGTGCCCCCATCCCCCGCCCAGAGAGGGAGACTGCCCCCCACCGCGAAGCACCCACCTGCTGTGCCTTGTCCCCAGAATCGGAGGAGAAACGGTGCTGGTTCTAGTTGGGGCTCCGCACGCGCTGCAGGGAGGGGCGGCCCCGGGGCGCAGGCGCCTACACTGGACAGCCGCGCGGCAGGCCCAGGCGGGGGGCAGAGCCCCTTTCCCTGCTCACGCTGGGCCCCATGACGGTCCAGACATTAACCCCATGATGACCCGCTGCTGGGCGCCCCAAGGGACCGGCAGGGCAACCGCCCCCCACAGAAGGCCCGAAGGCCCCAGCCCGAGGCGGGGACCGCAGCGCCTGCACGGCCACTGGTCGGGAGGGGGTGGGGCAGGTGCGTCCCAAGGAATTACGGGTGACAACCAGCGCCCGCCCTGGGGACTCCGGATTCAGAAAGAGGAACGAGCCGTCCCCACGCACGGGGACACCCCGTCCATCACCCGGGGACGCGTCCTTCCAAATAACGGCCTCACACCTGCTTCCCCGGAGTCAGGGCCCCGTCTCCAGACGGCGGTCAGGGCAGCAGCTGTCCAGACGGCCCTGCGAGGGAGGGCCCGGGAGGACGGGCGGAGGAAGCGCAGCCGCAGGGACGGTCGCGCCGGTCTCCGCCTCGCGAGGACACGGGGCACGCAGCCTCGGCCACCACTCGCGCCGCCACCCCCCGCCGGCCGTCCAGTCGGTCACGCAGGCCGGCTTCCCAGGGCCCGGAGCCACTGCCCGTGAACCGGGGACGCGCGCTGGCGTGACGCTCGAGGACCTGACACGACGTGAGCCGATGACATCGCGCCGCCCCTGGACCGAGCGCGGGAGTCCCACGCCGTGGAGACCAGCACCGCGGAGACCAGCCGTCCCACGGCCTCCCTCTCGGGTCGCCTGGTGATGCCGCGTCTTGGGGTGTTTTGAACTTGGACGCATCCAACGCAGCAGCTCCCCCGCGCCGCCTCCGGCGTGCGGAGACGTCCCGGCTGCAGCGAGCACGCACGGCCCGTGTTCTCTGGCTGCGGCCTGGCCGCGCGCCACCAGGTCTTCAGGGGGTCCGCGGGGACCGTCCTTGCCCCGCGGGGCGCACGCGCTCCCTCCTCCGTGCGCGGCCAGCAGGGGCACCCCGCTTCCTGCACAGGGCCCCGGCCCCACTGTGGGCCCGCCCTGCCCCGCGCAGCCTGACTTTGCTCCCGCCCGGGTTAGCCCCGGCGCAGCGCCCGCGGACAGCACGGCCCTCTGGAGGCCTCGCCCGAGCTGCTGCAGCTTCAGGAGCCACAAGCGCGTCAGGTCCTCGCCGCCTCTCACCCACACGGGCGCCCCTTGGGCACCGCCTCCCGGGGTCGGGCGGACGCTGACCTGATCTGCTCTCACTGAAGAAGCTGCTCAGCATTTCTGGCCGAGCCGCTCACTGAAGAGAAATCCAGCTTCGAAGACATGTTTCATCCGCGCCCGTTTGTTTTTTTTTTAAGATTTATTTATCTATACAAGAACCGGGGTACAGGCCAGAAGCGCGGGAGGGTGAGGGGACTCACCAGAGCCAGAGCGGGGAGCAGAGCAGGCAGAAGGACCGAAGGACACTGCTGAGGGGAGCCGCGGGCGGCAGGAGAGGTCTGCGCGCCCCGTGGGACCCTCGCCGGCCGGCCGGGCTCCACCCTGCACTGCAGAGGCTGCGGGCAGCTTCACGGCGGGGCACTCAACCGCCGGCGCCCCCAGGGGAGGCCCCTGCACCCACTTTACACTAACCTTCAGGTCTGAGGGAGAGACTCGCACGCGGCTCTAAGAGCTGCAGCCCCGGGACAGCGTCCCCGCCTCCCTCGTGACCTCTCCCGCGGGCAGCTCCGGGGCCCGAGGCGCCGGGCACCACGCACAGGTCCGGGGCTCGGCTTCGCGGACGCGCCTGCACCCCGGGCTGGGGGCCGACGCGGGGCTGTGCGAGCCTGCGAGCCCCACTTGGGCGCCTCATCTTTTGTTCCTGGCTGAACTGGACCGAGTCCGGCCTGTCGGGTTCTTTCCAGGGCACGTTGGTGCCCGCGGCCCTGGCCAGCCGCGCCGCCGCCGCGAGGGAGCCCCGCCGCCAGGCAAGGGTGCCCGGAAAGGGCATCAGGCGCAGATCTCACCAGGAGAACCAGGCGGCAGCGGTGACGCGGCTCAGCAGCTCGCAGCCCCGCGCGTCCCCGCATGAGCGCCCGCGGCCAGAGCCGGCTGCCCCCGCCCCGCCCCGCGGAACCTGCAAGACAACCAGGTGACGAGGAGGGCGAAGACGGCAGCGCCGGGACCCGCTCCCACAGCGGGCGGCCGCCCGGCAGACGCCCCAGGCCCGGCAGGTGAGCGAGGGGCTCCTCGGGCGCCAGCCCCGCCGCAGTGGGCCGTCTGAGGGGGCTCCCTCTCCTCTGCAGAGCTCCCGAGCCCCCCCGGCTCTCAGGCGGCTCGAGCAGAGCTGTTGCGTCCTCGCCGAGCCGGGCCCAGGAGCCCCGGGGTCAGGAAGCCGGGCGGCCCCGGCCTCCATGCCCGCTCGGCGGTTATGCGGCAAGGCGGGGTCCGCACAGGAAGCCCGCGGGCACCTCGCCAGGGCGGCCCCCGGCGCCGTGGCCCCCGCGCACGGCCCCCAGACGGCAGGCGCCCGAGCAGCTCGGGGCAGCCGGGCCTGGACACGCGGGAGACCGGGACGTCGGCTGTCCTCTCAGGCCCCTGCCTGGCGTCCGGGCTCAGGAGCGGAGGGCGGGGCGCCCCCTGCTGGGCGGTAAGGTGGCCGCAGCCCGGAGAGGGAGCCAGGGGTTCCCCCTGACTTTTTAGGCGAATACAGGCTCCCCTGTTTTTAAGTGAAAACACCTGAAAAAAGCTCAGCGGAGGCGCCAGGCCAGGGCTCTCACTGTAAGCCTCCTCCCCCCTGCTCTCCACGGGGCACGCTAGGAAGGGGCGGGAGGGGCAGAGCCCGTGAGAAAGCAGCCGTGCCGCGAACTGCTCTTTGCGCGAGTGCATTAAAAACGGGGGCGTCTGCAGAGAGCCCGGAAAGGCATCAGCGCAGCGTTTCTGGAGCTCTTCGGACTGCAGTTTGCCAGTGTTCCTACTTGGAAATTAAAGTGATGCATTTCAAATTGGCAATGAAATTCAGAAAACCTATTTCCTCAACACTGAACAAAGGGCTTGATGCACAGCAAGATGCACGGAATGTTCTAGAAAACGGCCAGGAGGGGACAGGCAGGAAAGTGCAGCTTCTGAAAACACAAACCAAGGAAGGTCAAGCGCGTATGCCTGAAAAATCCTGTCTTCTGCTCTGCTGCCGCCTGAAAGGACAGGCCTCACTCCCACCGAGGCTGGCACCCTCCCAGGGCTTCGGGGAGGGGCGCCGCTCCCTGCGTGGAGGGGGGCACGCCTGCCCTGCTCTGACCCCGTGGGCACCCCCAACTGCAGCTTCCTGGGCATCCACCTGCACGGGCTTGGGCGTTTCTGAGGATGCCCGCACTGTTAGGGAGGGGCGTGTCAGGTCTGGTTCCCTCTTGGACGCCTCTGGATTCTGGGGCTCAGGCTGCCACCCTCACCCCTCCTGTGACACCCCTGCTTAGAGTCCCAGGGGCTCTGCACAGCCCCCTCCCAGAGCATGCAAGCGCCGACCCCACGGGCCCCCTGGCCACGGGGCCTCCTGTGCCTGCTTCAGGCCCTCGCTTACTCACCACCTGCAGAGGGCCCTGCCTGACCGACAGAGGCCGTGCCCGCCGGCCCCCTCACCAGGCGTCGCTGACTGGGTGAGCGCCACCGTGCAGGGTTCCGAGGATGCCAGCAGCACAGCCAGGTGCGGCCCAGCAGAGGGAAGAAACACACCGACAGACCGCTGCCCGAGGGCGACAGGGAGCTAGTCCTAGATCGCCATGAAAACTTGCTGCGGTTGCCTGAGAACAGGCCTGGGGAGGGAGACGTGACTCTCCAAGGTGGCAGCCGCGCCTACACACATCAGGGGCTGCCAGGGCACAGCGCCCTCTGGGTTCCGGCCGGCACCTCTGGTTGGCGCAGAAGCCACACGTCAGTCTTCACCGGTCAGAACAAACACGTTCACGTTCACGGCTTATTTTATTTTTTATTATAAAAAACACATACAAGTTTTAAGAAATGATGAATGAGAAAAATCAGAACCATCGTGAGCTACTGAACCCGTTTTCTATGTACAAGCACTAAAATCCCGCAAGCGGAGCGTCACCCCACGTGAGGCGTGTTTCAGCACTGCCCTGAGGACGGGCCCAGACCCCGCCGGCCTCGCCCCCCGCCCCTGCCGGCAGCGGAGCACCCGCGGGCGGGAGCTGCACGGGCGGGCGGTGGCACCTGGCTCCCCGCGTCTGCCCAGAGGGCTGTGCGCCACACCCCAGAGACACTTGTAGCTACGCCCACAGAAGGTCATCAGGTTGTGTTTAGTCAATGTGATCCCTCCTCGTCAGTCACTTGAGTGCAACATCCAAAATTAGTTCAGGACTCAAATCAACGATGTTCTTATATTAAATTCATTATAAAAAGCCACTGAATTAAAAAAGCGACTAAAAGGACACTTTCTGCAGCAAAAAAAGGGCTAAATTCAAGTTTTTGTGTTTGACCAAGACACAGTAACACAAGCCGCGCATCCAGGCTCACGCGTCCTAAGTGAAATGTACGTGGTTTGGGGGAGCTGCTCACGGCCTCCCCCGCCCCGCCTGCAGCGGCCCCACGCCCCGGGGAGCCGCCGTCATCCCAGCACCCGAGCGCAGACCGTCCGTCACACTGGACTCGGGCAAAGGCACTTCTCTGGGGCAGGCCCGAGGCCTAGCCGAGGTCTTCTGCACACAGGGAGCGGACTTCCTCCAGGCCGCCCAGGACGGCGGGCGGCACGCTGTGGGCGGCGGCCTTGCACCAGGCTTCCAGGATGGCGGACACCTCGGCGGGGTTGCTGGGACTCAGGTCGCAGAGCGCGTACACGGCCGCCAGCTGCACGCCCCACGGGATATCTGCAAGAGTCCTCACGTCAGCGCGCGCTCGAGAAGAGAACTGTTCTTCCGAACGCTGCGATCTACTAGAGGTCAGTCAACAAGAAGACGCTCTGGCAGCAGTGAGAACAGGTGTGAAAGCCACCCCATGACAACACGGAAGACCCCCCCGCGTGCATGTGAGAGCAGAGACAAAACCCAGAGGGCAGGAGGGAGTCGCGGGGCTCCGGGGCCGGCCGGGACACCGGTGTGTGACCAGTGGCCGGCTCCCCCGGCAGTTCTGGGGGCCACGCTGCCAATTCGAGTGTTCATGGAACGGCCACCAGAGAAGCGGCCACCTGGGCCGTGGAAAAGGAAACGCCAGGAGACACAGGAGGCTGTGGGGCCACGCCAGCTCCACCCACAGACTCGCTGCACCGCCCACGCTCACCACCAGCCTTTCTTGTGAAATTTATGTCCTCTGTTAAATATCTAACTACGTTAAATCTAGTTAACTTTTACTGAAGTTTTATTCACACATGACTTAGCTTATTTCAGCATTTCATTAAACTTTGATTACTTCGTATTTCAGATTCTTCTGTGCCCCCCCAAGAGCCAGCTCCTGTGTAAAGCAGATGAGCAACTCCACAAAACCCACATTCAGATGCCGATGCTGCAGATGCAGGCAGAACAGAAGCGTCCGCCATCACTGTCTCCGCCAGCTCAGGCCCGCGGGGAAGCAGAGGCGAGGGCAGGGCAGACACGGGCTGACGCCGACCGTGCTGTGAAGTCACGCCAGCGAGCGGGAGAGGCGGCGGGCAGCCCTGGCCTCCGCAGAGGACTCTCTCTCGGGGCTTTGTTTCCTCCTGACCACGTCAAGGCCAGGTCACCCTGGGACCTCTGAGTGCACCTGGGGAAGGGCCTAGCCAGACGCTGAGCCCTGGCGGGCAGAGGGGGCGTCTCTGCTTCCTCCGCAGGGGCCTACTGCTTCTAGCTAATTCTAGGAGCTGCCCAACCCCGTCTGAGGCCAAGACAGCCCCCTGGCCACTCTTCAGAGCACTCTCGTGCTAACACGCACTCCAGACAGCGGGAGAGGCATCCTCTTAGGAGGACGCACATCACCTTACCAGCAATCCTAAAGCCTAATAATCTACTTCAGAGGAAGAACCTTCCAACTCGTCTCCCTGAGCGCCACACAGGCTGCACCCCGAAAGGTGAGCCAGTCTTAAGAGTCAGGGACATTAGGCAGCGTTCGGGTATGGCTGAGTTTCTGACAGGAAGTTGTTTGACTATGGACACCGGAAAAGCTAACAAGGAGAGATGAGTAAACATCCCCCACAAAGAAGGGGGCCACGTAAAGTTACGTGGTGTGAGGCGCGTGACTGATGGCAATCCATTCTGCAGACTTGCCGCCAGCTTCCAAGTTCTAAGTCCTCTCGATGCCAAAGTGCAATCCCTGGCACTTCACGGGCCCTGCCTCATACATGTGACCTTGCGACACAGCAGCTGCCACCATCCCTCATGGGCGGTCACCCGCAGCGTGTGGACAGTGCAGACTCTCTGGACAGCCCGCCAGCACCTGGAGGGGAAGTCCCGCTTCCCGAGCCGCGGGCCAACGGGGAGTCTAACGGTGGCCTTAAACCACCCCCCACACCCCATGGGCGGCCTCTCGTGTCCTGCTCGCTCCTCGCCCACGAGGCAGGGAAGCACGTGGGGCAAGGCAGCCTGAAGGGCTCAACACAGGTCCAGGAAGACGCACGCACGTGCTGTGGAGACAGCACCAACGGAAGCCTTACCTTCGTCCTGGGCATGCTGTATGAACATGCCAATGACCGAGCTAATGTTTTTCACAGCAGACGGAAATCCTTCCTTCAAACCCAATTGGCCTAACCGACCTGGGGGAGGGGAGAGGAAATAAGCCAAAATGTAAACATCTTGGGTTAAATAGTGATTTATATTTCAGTATTCAGCTAAGAGGAAAATCAAACGAAACTAGCACCCAGTTCTGGAAGCACAGTGAGCTGACGGGCAGGCGTGAAAGGCACCGCTGAGCCAGGAGGGAGCCTGCACCCCACAGCCACCTCTGCCGGGGCGCATGTTAAATGCATGGTATTAGTATCAGCATCTAAGAGTCAAAATATAAATAAAATGTAACAGGGGGCCTCCCTGGTGGTACAAAGAGTTGAGCCTCAGCACTATGAAGCTATCCGTAGCCTCTGCAACACGAGTTCAATCCCCGGCCAGAGAGCTGACCCATGTGGCACAGCAGACCTCTCCTGTCTCGCCTGCTGCTCCCCTCAGCAAGTGCAACTCAGGAGATCTGTCTGTTCTGCTCCCCACTCTCTCTGGTGGAAGCTCTCCCCGCCACACCTCTGGCCTACACCCCAGCTCTTGTATGCATAAATCAACAAATCTTTTTAAAAAAAGTAGTAACATAGGTTTTAATCTCTGACAAGGAGGGACAAAGCTATGAGAAAGAGTATGGAGTAAGAAAAATGAACTAAATGCAGAAAGTGTCTGTTCGGTCAGCTGCAGACGCAGTCATTACGTCTCAGTCAACACATTCCTGTACAGAGTCCCTGAGCAAGACAGCACGTCGCAGGAAGAAGCTGCACAAGGAGACGACTCACCGATCAGCCTGAGTACTGACGCTATGATGACATCAGGAGTATATGCGATGTTCGCGTGTCCTTTCCTGTATTTTATCCACTTATCCATTACAGGCCACAGCTCCTTACTGCAAAATGACACAGACCCACATGTTTATACACACACACAGGCGCAGGAAAGCGTGCATGTTTACCATTGTTCAGATGTTAGGAACTTTAAAATGGTCCCTGGGAGACAGACAAGTATGGAAGAAAGTCTGAGGATGTGGCCTGTCCATGAGTTGTGCTGGAGGCCCTAGCGCAAGTGCTCTGCCCCGACACCGCTGCAACCAGCGGCTTCCAGAGCCAAGCCCCAGGCCTGCATCTCCAGCCTCCTGTTGCCTCACTGCCTGGCTTTCCATGCAGCGAACGACATCCCCACGTCACAAAGCTGGGCTCAGTGTCTGGCCCTTGACGTGGGCCCTCCAGATGGAAACCAGCCCTGCTGCTTACTTGGGAGGAGCAGGACTGACAGGCTGTGTTCTGTCAACGGCCAAGGCTGAAGGACATAATCAAACCAAATATCAGCGGGATGAAAGAAACTTCCTGCTGGCTAAAAATGGTGCCCGATCCTACTGGCTTCCCCATCTTTCAAACATGTATTTACTTCTCACGTGGCATTTCTAAAGCAGAACCGTTAAACACAGATAAAGAAAAACATACGCTAGAAACACCTCCAATAACACCCCCTGAGATAACTCAGACTCCTACAGGGGCGCTTCCTTCCCACACTTCTGCATGTGCGTGTGTGTGCGTGCGTGCGTGCGCGCGCGAGACAGGGTGAGAGCAGCCACAGGACCTGGGACTCAGAGTCTGGACTGGCGCATGCAGAGCCCACAGTCAAGGCTCTGTCCTCGCCACCCACGTGGGGTCCGCGACCAAGTCCCTTGAACCAGCTCCACCCGGTGTCATGCCGTCACTGGCACCTAAGGGCCCCTGGGTTCCCAAAAAGAGCCAGGAAGAGGCTGAGGATGTGGCCTGTCCATGAGTTGCGCTGGAGGCCCAAGCGCAAGCGCTCTGCCACGACACCGCTGCACCCAGGGGCTTCCGGAGCCAAGCCCCAGGCCTGCATCTCCAGTTGGCACTCACACAGACCACGCTGGACACGCTGCTCTGACACTTTCTCACTCAGTGACTGTACAGTCAGGACACAAGACCCCCCAGAGTCACCTGTTTCAGATGGCCTGTCTGCTCACTCAGGCCGACCAAAGCTCAGCTCCAGCTCCTTGGCGCCTGACATCTATGCATGATCTCTCCCTGGCTACGAGGGGCAGATGGTAGAACACAACACCACAGACTATACTCCTCAGGCATCTCAAGGGGACGGACTACCAAACCTTCAGTGAATCCTTTAATAGCACATATCCCTTAAAAACCCCGTCTCTCTCAGTCAGGGGGTCCAAGAAAACGAAGATCTACAGAAAACGATTATTTTCTTATTTCCCCAGGACACACTAGTGCCAGGGTTCCGGGCATGGAGGAAGTGACCGCATCACCAAGTGCATGCCCTGAAGGGTCAGCTCGGTTTTAGCTCTCCCAGGACCCCTGCCGCGCCGGTGAGAATGGCCGTTTTGTGTCACTCCCCGCGCTGGCGGAGAGCCCCGCATGGGCACCGTGCTCGGGCTGGGCACCCTGAGCCCGAGGTCCTCCTGCAGGAGACCAGAGACTCCCGGGACGGGAGGGTAGTGAGGAACACAGCGAGGACGGATGCCGCCGCGCAAAAATAAGGCAAGATGTGCACCAGGAACACGCACTCGAAGGGGACTTTCATCATCTCGTCTCATCTGATCAAACACCCTTTCTGAGTCCCGGCCCAGTCACGTCGACAATAAACAAGATCCCAACACAACCAGCAACCACCGCGCAGATGCCCAGCGACGCTGTGACACCTGTTACCTCACGATGTTGTCGTGTGTCCAGACCCACTTCTGGTGGCAGCAGAGCAGGTCGATGGCAAATATGTACTCCCATGTGGCATCGCTCAGGTCTTCACCGAATCTTTCGCTGGACTGAAATTCTGTTTTTGGACACAACTGTATGGTCAAAAGCAGCTTGGAAACCATGAAGCCAACATCGACAGGAGCATTCTAGCAAAGGGGACAAAAGCAGCAGATTAAAGTCCAATCTCAGCGTGAGCGAGCGCAGAGCGAACAGACATTGGCCCCACGGGCACTCAGTTTTCAAGGACACCTTGCAAGTTTGAGGAAGAAACTGCATCGATCTTAGTCGTGATACTTGCTCCAAAGTGATGACAGAATGGCCGCCGGCGGGGGAACAGAGAACTCCAAGGGGGTGCAAGATCCAGCCATGTGGGAGAGAAATGACTTGCAATCCAGAATTAGTATTCTAAAGCAAGTTGTAGTAAGAAAAATCAATCTTAAAAGGTTTTCTACATTCTGTCATCTTCCTGACCCAAGAAATGAGTCCGCCTGCCCCGGCTGAGGCTGGATCGGTCTGACTCCTTTCACACTTGTGCGTGCTCTGATCTCTGTGCAGGGTCCCGGATGTGCTGGCAGTGGCTCCGTCCTACTGCTGAGAAGATGCCCGCCCCGCTGGACTGGGTCACCTGCAGCTCAGGCTCAGTGGACAGTGCTGAGAACACTGCGCCCCAGTCCGTGGGTGTCAGCGTTGGGCGTCTTGGGTTAGCAACGCAGGGCACCATCGTCCGACCCTTTGTGGAAAGGTCTAGCTTTCTAAGCTGCCCATACCTTCGAGATGGGTCTAAGAATCTACGACTTTAAAACTGAGTATCAATTAAATCATGGGGTCTCTGGTACACACAGGAGCCCTACAGGTACACGCAGGTGAAGACTCCCTGGGAAGACTCGGAGGTGGAGCCGCCCTTGAGAGGTCAGCCCGGGGAAGTGCTCCCTTCCCGGCGGCGGCAGGAACCCCAGCTCCTGGTTTTAACAGAAAATGGTTTACAGACCTGCGGATAGCACTGCTGGGATCTTGTTAACCAACAGTGTTATGTTCAGGAAATTCTCCTGTATTTCTGTTTGAGAAATAACCTCATGGATTTTTGTCTTTAATTTACAGATTATGTTGATACCCTGGATTCCTTACTCCATTATTGTCTACTGTTTTACTTATAATTTCTACATCTAAATGCCTCCTTAAAAAATAGTATAATTTTCTTATATTATTATTTAATTGGATTTTGTTACTAAAAATAAACGGAGTTTTCAATCTTGTCAAAAGAAAAATGGACTGACGGTCAGACAAGGTTCAGGCGGCGTCTCCGTGATTTCGTGCGCTACATTTTGACCACTATGTCATATCACCTTGTGTGTTCACATTTAAGTCCTCTAGCCCAAGCCAAAACCACTGGTTATGTGGAAAGATCTGGTATCGGGTTCCTGGAAAGGGCCCAATCCTTTACTAACCTGGGGGCAAGGCTATGCGTGTGCTTTTCTACAGGACACTGGTTCACCCATCTGGATCCCCGACAGGCTAATCTGACGCCTTGGTTCCTCCTCTTCGCCGACTGCGACTTGAGGAGTCATAGACCAGTCATAGACCAGTGCGACTTCGTCACCAACTTCTGCCACGCTGCTCAGCAACACGCCTCCCTCTAGTCCCTCGTGTGAAACCTTCCTTGTTGATGTAATAGTGCTCGGGATAATGCAGACAGATTGTCTTTTTAAAAGTCTATCAGCCTCCTTGTGTTATACTGCCTGTAGATCTAGAGGAACACTGGTATGATGATTTTGGTATTTATGCTCTTAGATAAAAAATGTTAAGACTTGTTTAAATGTTCTCCAGGAAACACTTTTGCATAATGGTAATCAAATTCAGCATATCAAAACTCACTTGACCACTAAATGTCACTCTGATTATAAATGGATCTGTGTTACTCCACGTTTATAATTCTTCTTCTATTCCATGAAACAATGTCAAAAATCATTTACTGGGTGTATGGGATAACACAAACGTTTCCCTGGACCTTACCGCTTTGCAGAAAGATATTAAGGCAACTAGTTTAGCTCATGTCTCCTCTTCCACTCCTGCCGAAGTTGCTGATTCCTTCCTGGCTTCTTTGCAGCACTACACCACTAAGGCCGCCTGGTTCCCATCATTTATTACTATTGGTACCATTTTGCTTGTCACCATGCTTAAGCTACTTCTCTTCCCATTGTTTATTAAATTACTTTTCCGTGCTATTACACAACTACAAATTGAGTTAAAAATTATACAGATAATGACCAAAAACAAAAAAAGGGGGGAAATACTGCAGGGGGCCTTGCTGCCCTAGCCAGGTAAGACACTGGCAAGCAGCTAAGAAAAGAGCCTCACACTGTGGGGCTGAAGATTAAACATCCCTTTGGGTTTTGTTCTTGGTCATAAAAAGAAAAAACCTTATGGAATATACATTGGGCAATAAATTATATGTATATGAATATTGTAAGCACATGACATGGAAAATTACTTGCTTGACAATTAAACACTGAATAATTTGGCTCATTTGACAATGGGAAATAACTATTGTGCAAGAGCATGTCTGATAAGCAACCCAGAGCTGGTCATAGTATTCCTCAAATGGAAGTTACGTAGAGAAGCTTGTAAGGAATCACGAAGTTGATTACACTAGGAGTTTCTAGGTAGAAAAAAGTTCCAACAACTGATTACCGGAAAGCAACTGGTCTCTAGCTGCAGGCCATATAGATAGCAGAGTCTCCTGATACTGTAGCCTTGGCCATAGGGCGGTGCCAAGGACTGTCAGCTGACCTAGGTAGTTGTTTAGGCTGAAATAATGAGTCTAAATTTCAATTATCTATTAACTTTTAAGGTCATTTCTTTTCTCAAAAAGACGTAGGCGCCAAAATGTCTATGGGAAAGGAATGTACTAATTGTTTTTGTTTTGCGTCTGTGCAGAGGATGATGTCATCCCATCACTCGCCTTAACGTATAAATAAAGACCCCCTGAGACCCTCAGCAGGAGACGCTTACCCCAAAATAAGAGTGTCTGTGTCTGCCTCTCTCCCCTGCCCCTCAGCCCTTAAGTTTCGCCTAGGCCGTCTCATCCTCTCAGGGACGCCTGACCCGACATTCTGCCGAAAGCTGATCTTCGGCAACCTCCTCCGCCTCTGTGCTCACCAGCCACGCAGGGCTGATTCACGTGCTGATTCACGTCCATTTTGATCACTTTAATTTTGCTAAGAAATCACCGTTTCCAATTGTGCCACTGCAGAGATGCAGGCAGGGTCTCGCACTCTCCATCCCGCAGCCGTGAGACACCTTCTCCATCCGTCTGCAATCTCACGTGGCGTTGCTTTCCTAGCTTCCCATTCCTCTCAACTGTGTCTCTGCTTTTGACGGTGATTTTGATGGAGGACAAGAACAGAAAGACTGGAAAGGAGGCCTCACAAGACTAAAGCCTGACTCACACGAGGAGGTGGGGGTCGAGGGGAATAACAGGACCATTAACCCAGCTGTAGAGGTCGTGACCCTTAGGCACCAGAGCCTTGTCACAAGGCCTGAGACCCAAGCAGGATCAGATGCTATAGGGAGTGGAGCACAGGCTTGAGGGTAAAGATATGGAGATTGGGCCCACCCTGGAATCTCTGATCCCTTCCTAGTGTTGCCTGTTACCCAACATCAGCAGCCAGCAGCCACTCCACCGAGGAGTGACCCTCCCAAAGAGAAAAGGACTAGATCAGGGCAGTCTCTGCACAGGCGCGGGCAGCACTCCCACTGCCCACCTGTGACTGTGCAGGTGCTTCCTTTCACCAACTCTCTCCCTCTGCAGGGCAGCAGCCTCCTGCCTGCCCGTGATCTGTACCTGCTGGGACTTCTCTTCACTGACCTCCCTCAGCGGAGGCAGCTCTCCTCAAGGCCGCCTGCCTGCAACCATGCAGGCCTCTCTTAGCAAAACCTGTCCCATTCCCTTTCCCTAATAAACCTGCTCTTTATATATAACTAACGTCTCTGTCTCATGGAGAAACTCGCCTGGGAAACTCGCCGCGTGCCGCTGAAATGGGAGCTCTGGTGAAACCCTTCCCAGAGTGACCCCAAAGACCCCACAACTCCACAAAAATGACATCAATTTCAATTTAAACGCAACGGCTTTTTCCTACTGTTTTTTGTTCTTTACTTACTATTATCTTTTAAATTATTCCTTTTTTAGATTTCTTCTCTTCAGTAAACTTAAATTATTTTAATAATCAAGACACTTAAACCATTTTAATGAATATAACCACCCCCAGCCCCCACAACTAGAGATCCTTGTATGAAGGGTTTCCTCTAAAAGGCTGCAGTTTTACTTTTGAGATTCATTTTGGTCCCAGATGAACTAGAAGAACTAGAACTGGGTATCTTAGTACCCAAAAACTTGTTAAGGAATCTCTGAATTAGTAATATGTAATTTTACTGACTATCACTTGAGGATTCTGAATGTAGAACCTTTACTTTTTTAAAATTAAAGTTTTCACGTGTCCACTGCCAGACTAGCTTTTGCAAATACACCATAAACATGAAAAAAATACGCATTTTAGGGCCTCCCTGGTGGCGCAGTGGTTGAGCGCTGGGTTGCGAAGCTGCCCGCGGCCTCTGCAGCACCGGTTCGATCCCCGGCTGCTCCCCAGCCACCGGAGGAGGGTCCCACATGGCGCGCAGACCTCTCCTGCTGCCCGCTGCTCCCCTCAGCAGTGTGCTTCGGTCCTTCTGCCTGCTCTGCTCCCCGCTCTGGCTCTGGTGAATTCTCTCACCCTCCCGCGCTTCTGACTGTACCCAGTGCTTGTATAAATAAATAAAAATAAATCTTTAAAAAAAAAAAAAAAAATACGCATTTTATTGAGTTTAATGTTCACGTTATTGGATTCCATTGTGTCTTTATTCGTCTTTGCCTATCAGATCTGCTGAATCCTGTAACAGAAAACTTGGAAGTCGAGTATTATAATGGTATTTTTCCACTAAGTATCTCCTTTTTTAATATTTTTGATTTGATATAAATGGCTAACACATTTATTAAAATTCTACTTTCTTTGTCAATAATGTCTTTTATCATCACATCAACATATGTGGCCTCATCCGGAAGGCCAAGGAGTCTGCCTCCTGCTCGGTGGTGGGGGGGCAGGTAACCTGGGGGGGAGGGTATGTGGTGTGGCTGACCCCCACCCCAGGGGTGGAGTCTCTTCTGAGTAAGTGACTGAGTTAAGTCGATGGCCCTGCACAGGAAGACACCCCGGTCTGTCCAGAGGCTCGCTGGAAGGAGATGACAGACTTCTTCCCTTATAACTTCCCTAACTTCTGCCCACCAACAGCCCTTCCCTTTACCTTTACAGAAAACAAAGGTCTAACAAATATTGCCATCAAAATGTAGCAAAAAGGAAAGCAAAATGGCACATAGAATCCTACCACATGCATAAAGCCAGGAGAATATTTTTAAAGGGGCAACTAATACACAGACATTACAAAAAAGAGAACAAACTAAAAGTGAGTCCCTACTGACCCCCAGCCCTCCCTTTCCGGCAGTTAAGCCTCCAGTCTCCCGCCCTCAATAGCAGCTGTGGCTAAAATTCCAACCTAGACACTCTATTAGCACGTCCACTACTAACGAAAATAATAAAAAAAACACACGGAAACAAAGTCCTTAGAATAAATTCCATCAACTGGAAAGTGAAGCGTAGACAGCAGAGGCAGAAAGAGCCTCGCGGGAAGGGGCCAGGACACAGCCTTTCCAGCTCCCAGGACAGCCCAGGAGCAAGCGCTCATACCACACCACGTCACATCACGCCACGCCACGCACCCACATGCCTGACTCCCATGGGCCACAATCAGCACCAATGAAACCTGGACACTGCACACAGACCCACGACTCTTCACGGACTGTCTCACGCAGTCAATAAAAACAGCACGTCAGTGAGGCCACCGGCCACTGGAAAGGACCCAACACAAAGCCGGATCTCCAAAGCGCCTATGAAGTGACAGGAAACAAATGGGAAACAAACAAGGACAGAGTGGGGGCACGGGCGGCAGCGCGAGACGGGCGCTCACCTTCTCCCAGCTGAGGAAGGCGCGCAGACAGTTCAGGACCTCGCCCTTGGCGCGCTGCCTGGCGACCAGCTGCATGGCCGTGCTGACCACCGACTGGGAGAGGAAGACCTCGTGCCACATGTTCGCAATGAAGAGAGTCAATTTCTCTGACTCTGGAAAATCTACAAGAAAGAAAACAAGATAATAAACCTTCATATCTGATCAAGCAATTAAATGACAAACTAAGAACAAATTTTCATGATTTCAATTGTGCCTGGTGAGGCCTCCTGGGCAGAGATGGGGTGGCTGGGGGAGGCCCGGCCTCAGTCACCGCGAAGTCTACTTCTCCCCGCACGGCACCCCCACCCCTCCCCAGCCTCACGGGTGCTCCCCAGCAGCCTCCCTTCCATTATCAGAAGCGCGAATAGGCATGCTCTGACATGGGGCAGGGAGCGCCACATGCGTGGAGACGCAGACGCCCCCGCTGAAGCCCCCCCCCACCTCTGGGCTGCCAGCGCTGTGGCTCTTCAGCTTTTACCAGAGAAAACTCAGAGCATGCGATGCTTTCGAGCTGAAGAGCTGGTCTTTATATAAGTCATGGCTGATATCCTTTCACTGCCTCCTCCCACACTGGCTTGTCTGTAAACCGACTCAATGGAGGCAGAGCTTACACTTAAGGAAGCCCACCCACTCTGGGAGAGCACACAGCTTGCACAACTGCAACTGACCACCATCGACATCCAGAACGTTCCCGCCCAGCCCCTGCTCTTCTGGGAGTTTGGCCCCCAAGAGACCACAAGTCTGCCTACTGTCACATCCGGCCACTTTCCTCGAGCGTGCTGCTGGTCCCTGCAGCAGACACGCTCCGTCGGGCTGCCCCCAGTAAGCTCCGGCCCTCGTATGCGTGCACGGGCCTGCGGTCTACGGCTGGCACCCCAGGAGCCTGCCCCACGCCGGCGACCATGCTGGCTCCGATCCCCTGCTCATGGCCAGTTTCCAGTCGCAGGCTTTTCTGAGTCAGGATGCTCGGGACCTGAGGCCCAGTCTACACCAGGAAACACCTGCTTGTTGAACAAGTGCCTGGGAGTGAAGTCCCTGTGACGGTGAGCAGATGCTATAACTTTAGAGCAAACTGCCCGGCGCTGCAACACGTGGCTGCACAGCCCCTGTGGCACACGACACCTGCACTGTTCTCCACTGACCTCCAGCATGTCTCGAGGGCGGGTGACCTGCTACACTGCTCTCACCTGCATGTTTAAAGTCTACGCTTTCCGGCACTTTCCTGCCGTCACAGGACCCCATACGTCTGCCCCTCCACCTGGAACTGCTCCCTCACGCCTCGGCGATGGGCTCTCTCACAGCTCCACACCCCAAGTTCAAAAGTCACATGGACAAGCATCTTCCTGACCCCTTCGCTCTCCACCCACCCTCCACAGCACAGGTTACTTGCTCAACACTCAGGGACAGACGATGACGCCTCTTCCTGGGGGCGGGGATACGGCAGGGCCCAGACAACCAGCCCCTGGCCGGAGAGAGCACGCAGCCAAGTGTCACGAAGGAAAAGAGAGGCGAATAGGGGATGCAGGGTGACAGAGGGCGGGTGACGTGACATAAAGTGGTGAGGGGCCTCCCCGGTGGCGCAGCGGGTTGAGTGCCGTGCTGTGTGGCTGTCCGCAGCCTCTACAGAGCGGGTTCGATTCCTGGACGGCCTTGGAGCAACCCACATGGCAAACAGACCTCTCCCGTCTCCCCGCTGCTCCCCTCAGCAGTGTATTTCATCAGTCTGCCTGTTCTGCTCCCCGCTCTGTCTCTGGTGAATCCTCTCACCCTCCGGTGCCTCTGGTCTGTACCCCAGCTCTTGTATAAAAATAAATCTTAAAAAAAAAGGGGGGGAGACAGTGGCGAGGCCAGAGACAGAGCCCTGTGGCACAAAGGAAGCGAGGGTGGGTGCATCTTTCAGAAGGGCCAGCACCCCACTGTGCACAAGTGGGGCCCACGAGTGTCCCTTTCCACGAGCCCACCAAGGCCAACGCCTGTGTGGTGTGACAGTCCTCACTGGCCTCACGACAGCCCTCCCACACCCGCCGGGCCATCCCGGAAGGCTGGCACACCCTAACCCGCGTGACTCAGCCAGTGACCGAAGGAGCAGACATGCAGCAGCCTCGTGCGTGCCCCGAAGAGCCCCACATCCAGGACCCTGACTTCCAAGCTCATCAGCACTGCCCCGAGACCCAGAAACTCTGCCGTGACACTCAACTGCGCCTGAGTAGCATCTTGCCACCTGGCGCTTCTCCCTTGATGATCGGACGTGATGAGCTGGGCCGCCCCCACCCGCTCCGCTCTGGTGCCTCTCTCCGGGGCCTCCGGACTCCATCTCAGATCTCGCATTTCCCGCTGGTGACACCGTCGCTCTCCTAAAGGGCCGCCCCTTACTCCATGTGCTAAACCGAGTCGAGGTGGGCAGGACTGAGACAAGGGCAGCGGACGAGTCCAGCTCAGGCGTGGAAACGCATGTGCCGCCCCGCATTCCAGTCGGGGACCCTGTGCTGACCAGACCCAGGCCTGGTCGGGGCAGCCAGGCCCATGCGTGCCCACCATGTAGACTCCTCTTATAAGCCACACAGCGGAGACACAGCCTGGCATGATGTGGCCACCAGGCAGCAAGGTGTCGCCCACGAGAAGCGGCGCCGGGACGTACCCTCCTTGAGCAGGCTGTAGCAGAGCAGGCGCGCCCTCTCCAGGTCTCCGAGCTGCCGACAGATGCCCACGTACACCCTGCACAGGGCGTGGACGTAGCTGTGCTCCACAGACGCCTTCTGGGCCCTCAGCTCCGCGAGGATGGAGTGGAGCAGGCACTCTGCCAGGTGCTGGGGCGGGAAACAAAACACAAAAGCCACGCACTGTTTATCTCCAGCCCAGGAGAGGGGTGCGGAGGACAGGCGAGCCCCACCTGGGAGGCTGTGCTGGGCCTCAGCACTGCAAGTGGGGGTCGGGGGGCCTGCCACCACCAGGCCAGACCCTTCTGGTCTTTACTGAAATGACCCGCGCGCGCGCGCATGCCTGTGTAATGCTGCCCCACCCGGGCTCTCCTCACGCCTATTTTCTGAACTCCAACGTGCTTGCCAGCTTTACACCATTTAAATCTTAAAATACCGGGTGCCATTTTTTTGCTCAGGGAAAAATGTATCAAGCGATTTCTGATACAATCACTGCAGAATGAACGCAGTGCCAGAGGCACCCAACGGCCCTTCACACTCTCCGAAGGGGCATGCAAGAGCCACTTGGAGGCTCCAGGAATGGGCAGAAACCCAAGCGAGGTGCACGCAGACCCTCTCATCGGCCTCCCGACAGGACTCCCGGGGCCGGAAAACAGATCCATTGAGCTCTGCTGAGTGCGCGGGTGACTGAAGGTGGCACAGCACCCGGGGTGGGGGGCACCCGGGGTGGGGGGCACCAGGGTGGGCCAACCTCGAGGCTCCAGTTCTCACGACACTGGGACGTGACGCTGCCCGCAGCGAGGGAGGGGCCCGAGAAGCTCGGGAGAGCGCCCCTCCAGCCCTCACGCGCCAGGAGCAGCGGGCAGGCGCGGAGACACAGCGTCTCGGGTTTGGACGTTGAAGGTACCGGATGCGCGCACCTCTCCGGGTCCCGGCCCTGACCACACCTCTCACGTCAGGGCTGCCAGGCGCGCAGGCTGTTGCGGCGGCACCACCTACCTTTCTCGTCGTGCTGAACTCATGGACGACGTCTTTCTCCTGGTCCCTCATCACAGGCTTCCTGGAGATGTTCCCCACGTAGACGTGGGACCGGATGACGGGGAGCAGGTCGAAGGGCGCCTCTGCGATGCGGCGCAGCGCATCCGCGATGGCTCTGTCGTGGGACTCCACCGTCTCCCTTGGGCTCAGCGGCCGCGGGGGAGCCGTGCTGCCGGCCTGGGCGGAACTGCTCTCCTCCTCTGTCGCCGGCGCCTCAGCCGGAGGGAGTTTCCTGCGGGCGTGCTTGTGGAGGCCTTCGGCCCCAGGGGCCCCAGGGTCTGGCTCCGGGGAGCTGTCCAGGCGCAATCTCTTCGCGCTCCTCGGGGCCGAGGACGGCAGCACTCTCTTCCCACCCGAATCCTGTTGGGCGGCCCCCAAGTCTCGGGCCCTGTCCTGGCCGCTGTCCCCGCCAGAGCTGCCCCCGGCCTTCACGAAGGCGGTGGACGTGGGCGTGATGGCTTTGAAGCCCGTGATGGCGCCGACTGGCCCGGGCGCGCTCTGACCGTCAGCAGGGGCGCCTCGCGTGAGCTGAATGTTCCCTTTGAGAAGGTTGAGGGTGCGGGCCCTGGCCGACAGCTCGGGGTACATGGTGTCCAGGATCTTCACGGAATTCTCCGGGGGCCCTGCCGCAGCAGTGTGGGCCGCGGCGAGGGGCGGGAGCCGGCCAGGCACCGGGACGGCGTGCTTCGGGGTCGCAGCACAGAACTGCAGAGGGGAGGACAGTATCCTCCCCCCGGCAGAGACGGATGACGGGGAGGGGGAAGGGCATGGAGGAGAGGGGTGCCCTGGGGCTTCTGACATCCTGGGAGGCGCCGGCAAGTCACACAAGGGGGAAAGTGGGCCGACAGGCGAGGTGGGGCTGGAGCTGGAGATCAGGGGGGACACCGAGCGCAGCGTCCTGGGGGGCGTGGCTATCAGAGGGGCCAGCAAGGGGGGCAGGGGCGGCCCCACCTCCTGCCGGATTTTACTGAGCGTGTCAGCCGGGCCCTCGGTGGGGGTTGAGGTGTCCGCGGTGGCCAGAACGGTCTGCTTGTGGCTTCTCTGAGTTTTTGTCTGCTCTCTCTCCCCCGAGGGTGACTCTGAAACTTCCCTCTGGTCAGTTTCAACCCTGCCCGTGGCTGAAGTTTTCGCCGCTTTGCCCGACTGATCCTTGTTGGAAACCTTTGACCTCTTACTTTTGGCACAGGGCTCCAGTTTCGAGTTGCAGTAAGTGTGGTCGGACGCAGCAGGTGGAGACTCAAAGTCCTGATCGAATATCTGGGAGCTGATCCTCACGCTGGGCCTGACGGGCCTGTTGCGCAGCCGACTTTTGTCGAAGTTGGAACTCTGGCCGCTGCTGGAAATCTCTCCGTGGACAGGGGCAGAGCCACCATTACACCGCGCCTCCTGAGGGCCCACAGGGCCGGGCTCGGGGGTCTTCGTGTGTGCAGTGAAGCCAGTTCCCAGTCCCTCCTGATCTGGGGCAGCAGGGGCGTCGCCAGGAGCGTCACACAGTATCACCTGGTCCACGCTGGGCACGAGGGCCACCCCATTGATGATGGTCCAGTTGTTCCCCTTCTCGATGACCAAATTCTGATCCTTATTTAGAAGCACTTTTATGACCTCAGAGGTCACTGTGGAGACCTGGCACTGGAATGTCGCCCCCGCCTCCCCACTGGCACTGTGCTGGGCCACCTGCTCCACCACTGGGCTGGAGCCAGCAGCGTCCGAAGGGGCCCCCTCTCTACCGTCTGTGGGCCTGGGGGCATCCAAGTCACCCCCAGGTCTGCTCTGAGTGTTTTGGGAATCAGCCCTATTACTCGCGGGAGCACCGCCCTCAGTGTCCGAGTGGGCTGCTTGCGGGGCTGGCTCTGAAGGGCATGATGAGGCGCTGGAGGTTTCCTGAGGGTGCCCCTGCTCGTCCATGAGGTCGGCCGCCACGCTGGTTAAGAGGGCTGAGTGCCCCCGGTGAGTGGCCTGAAGGCCCTGTCCAATCTGGGTGAGAACCTTGGCCAGGGTCTCCAGAGAGCACTGCGCCAGCTGACCTGGCTTCCTGAAGAGACTGTCGTCTTCCTCCGACTCAGCCCCCTCTTCCGAGGCTTCGATGGCTTCCTCTTCCCAGAGGTGTTTTCTGTGTTTTTCTCCTACTGCCTCACTTAGCTTTAACTCTCTGCTTCTTTCTTTACCTAGGGTTCCTTTGCTGGAACATTCTGAAACAGAGTCCGCTGAACTATAATCTCGTAACTGACAACTCTCGAGGAACCTAACCACCTCGGACGTGGACAGCCCGTCCACCTCAGACAGCGCGCTTATGTCCCAGTCCTGCAGGGCGGAGGTCAGAGAGCCCAGTTCAAAGCCGGAGCCTGGCTCGGCTGTGCCAGCATCCCTAGCTGCAGACTCCGCTGTGGCGGCCGGGGCAGTTCCAGGCCGCCCCTCAGCCCTCAGGGCTTCCGCCTCATTTTCCCCCTCACTGCAGCTGGGAGCCTCGCTCTCCTCCACTTCAGTGTCGCCTTCCGCTGGCTCCCGAATGTCCGTGTAAGAAAACAGAGAACCAGGAAGGCTACTTTGGGGTACAGCTTGTGTCGCTTCATCTTTCCTGCCAACTGCTGAGGACCAGGCAGGTTCTGCGGTGCCTGGACCTTCAGGGGACACAGGAGCCTGCAGTGGCAGCTGCGGGGCCTCTGTCGGGCTCTGCTGCAGGCCAGATGTTGCTGAAATGGCCACGGCCACACCACCAGGCCTGCCTGGGTCTGCCTGGGTCTTTTCTTCAACAGGGAAACCTCCAGGCACTGTCGCTTCTGTGGCTGAAAGAAGTCTCTCCGCACCTGTTCTGGATGACTCCGAAGAGGTAGCACAAAGGAACAGATCCTGCTTCTGGGCCTCTGCCCTCACTGCCGCTTCCAGGGCCATCTCTTGCTTCTGGACTGGGATGTTTTCAGGAGAGCAAGATAATTTACTACTTGGGGAGCCGTAAGAATTTTCTGGGGAAGAACCACACGAAGAATTACTTGGAGAACCAAAATCTAGTTTTCTGCAAGAGGTGGAAACTTCTGGTGAAGTCCTTTTTGTAACAGCCCCCTCCGTGACCCTCTGTGCTGAAGCCTCTGTCTGTCCTCCATGCCTCACCAAGGACGGCATGTGCCCAGGCGCCTGCTCAGGACTTTCTGGGGCCAAGGTGGGCTGGCCCCTGGGCAGCTGCGGGGGCTCTGACCTAGCACTCGGAGTGGGCTCTGGTCTTGTCTGCTTGGTGATGACCGACACCTGGTTAGGCAGCAGCGACGCAGCAGCCTGGACGCCCACAGGATTGTCCTCCCCGGGATGCATGGGCCTGCCCGCGGCACAGCTCTTTCGGGAGGACGGCGCTGGCCCCTCTGGCTGGTGGCTGGTCTTCTGTCCCAGATCGGAGGCCGCCCTCAGCGGGGCTCCTTCAGGCTTCCGTAACAGGCCACTGTGGTGCCAGGACGTGATTCCGACAAGACCCAGGCCTCTCCTGGTCAAGCACTGGGACCCGGCTAGCGGGGGGACACCCAGCTGGCCTGCCATGAACTCGGCTCTCGGGGCCTGACTGGCACCCCGCCCCTCCCACAGGGCTCTCGTGAACAGTGGCGGAAGCAGCACGCAGGCTTTGGCTGCGCCCTTCACGGCTGCCACACCTGCGACCTCCTGGCCACGCTGCTGAGCGCAGTCAAAAGCTGCCAAGCCAGGGCTCCAGGCTGGCTGGAGGATCTCCTGGTCCCTCTCCCCTTCGTCGCGTTTAGGGGGCTCTGCCCACAGCGCCAGCCTGTGCAGTTGAGGCTCTGAGCAGGGCGGTTCCGTAGGGGCTCCCTGAGAAGGGACAGAGGAGGCGCGGGGCCGGCTGCAAACAGACAGCACCCCTGAGGTAGGAGGGGAGGAAGATGCTGTGGCATCCCCCACCCCTGTGGTGTCCATGGTGCCACCTGCACCTTGTTCTGGCTCAGGTGACTCTCCCACGAGGGACCCCTGCACATCTTCTCTCTCCTCTTCCAACTCTCCCAAGGGTCTCTGAATTCGGGTGGACGGCGGTTGGAGGGTGGCTGCAGCAGAGACGGCATAGGGCGGGGTCTGCTCGGGCAGCCGGGACTCAGGAGAGCCGGGCACCCCGGACAGGGCTTTCCCTCCACACCCCGTGAGCTCATCTGAGGTCCGCCGGCCAAGAGAACGCAAGTGTGGCTGCCCCACAGCCCCGGCCAGCGTGTGAGCTCGGCTGCCAGACAGCTCCGCGACACAGGCGTTCCCGCCATCGGTCTGCACGGCCCTGTCCTGCTCCCTCGCCGCGCCCTGCCTCCTGCTACCCGCCGTGAGCAACGCGGCCGCAGCCCAGGCTCTCCCGGGCGCTAAGGAGAGCTCGTCTGGGGAGGACTTCAGAGTGGCTGCGAATGTCCCAAAGCCCAGAGTGGTCACTTGGCTCGCTTCCGAAGTAGCGAGTGCCTGGCTGATGTCGCGTGACCTCAGCCTGTCCTCCCTGGCACCTCCTTCTTCACTTCTGGCCAAACCCATGTCATCCCGTGACTCAGCCGTGTCATCTTCCGAAACAGAGTTGGCAGAAGTTCGATGTTGCACCGACTCGTTATCGCTGGAATCCGTGTACTCTCCAAAGTAGGTCTCCTTGCAAAACAAAAGGTCACACTAGTTAGCAACTGAGCTACTAATTCCACCAGCCAGACAGAAGGACCAGTTACCAGAAAGCACACGGCTCCCGAGAGCATCTGTAAAAGCACACCCGGGAACAGGAGATTCGTTCTCCAGAACGTCTATCGCGGGGCAGGTGAGTCTCAGCCTCGGGGTCAACGTGCCGCACCCCTCCTCAGAGGGGCCACCGCCCCAGAGTGCCCACACCAGAGCCTCCTACAGGCTCTCCTTCCCACGCTCGGGACAGACCGCTGCACCCCAGAACACGTCACTTAGCTATGGGTAAAGACACACACAGATGCAACTGGGATGTAAAGTAAAGTTGGGCCACGCGTGCCGGCCACGGGCCCAGGTATCCTTGTAAGTTCTCACACTAGTTATGCCCTAGCAAAATTTGGTCTGCATGCCAGAATGTTCTTTCAGTGCCACTAACATGTGAAGACAGACACTGCCCACTTGGTAATTCTGTTCTCGGCGCGGAGCTCACAGGTGCAAGTGAAGAGGGCAGCAGTGGAGGCGACACCAGCGGGGGGGACGGCACAGGGGACAGGAGAGGCGGCGGGAGCCTGAAGAAGTCCACTGCAGCTTGAAGGTCGTCATCGACAGGGCGGCCGGGACGCGAGAGGTTGGCTCGGTCGTGCTCGGCTCTCTGCACGGCGACTTGGGGCCCGGCGTCAGTGGGGGAGAGGGGGTGGGGAGGGCACGCTGCTCCCGGGGGCCTCTCCGTCTCTGCGTCTCTGCAGGCAGAGAAGTGGCCCTCGATCTCCATGGACAGCTCGGCCAGGCATGTCTGCACGTCGGCGGAGCCGTGAGGGCAGCCTTCTGCCGGGGTGGGCACATGGTCCTCCCCGGACTCTGGGGGGCCCAAGCTTTCTTTGGCAGGTATTTCTGTGGAGGAAAGGGAACACTAAATACATACAATATGAAGGAAACGTAAAAATAAATTATTCAAACAGTTTAAATGCTCGCAGTATTGGTTAAATCCAATCAAGCAGAAATTTTGTTAAAGACAAGCAACCTCTTCTGAAAGCACAGGCATATAAAGGCCATGGAAAATACTGGTACTTTGAGGTATGAAATACTCTGGAAGCGTTTTGCTCACCTGGGACACACCTGCTGCCTTCACCAGGTAGTCTGTGTGTCGTGTTTATGCAGAGCCAGAGTTCCTTCAGAAGTAGTTTTACTTTTCCTGTGAAAAACAGCAAAGTATTAAAATCATGTTATTTGGCCGATTCTACAAAACCAAAACATGCGCCTATGAAACCAGGGTTTAGAAAACTAGACACTTACGGGTCTCCCTGGTGGCGCAAGGGGTTAATAAGCACAGTACTGTGAAGCTATCCGCAGCCTCTGCAACACAAGTTCAATCCCCGGCCAGGGAGCTACCCACATGGCGTGGCAGACCTCTCCTGTCTCCCTGCTGCTCCCCTCAGCAGGGGATTTCATTGGATCCGACTATTCTGCTCCTTACTCTGTCTCTGGTGAATCCTCTCACCCCCTGCACCTCTAGCCTGTACCCCAGTTCTTGAATGCATAAATAAATCTTTAAAAAAGAAAACTAGGCACTTAAGCACCTACCCGAAATTCAGCCACTGCCTGTGTCTTGGCCAGCTGTTGATGGAAAGGAACAGTGAAGGCTAAACACAGGTGTGAGTTTCAGGGGGGCGAGGGGTGGGAGCTCAAAAGACCTAATCCACCCGCTGTCAAAGATCTTTACCACCTTTATATATGCAACTCCCAGGGCTACATTTTCCAGAGACTCATATGATACCGGGAAAGGAAAACAGGTGCAATGCCAACCCTGACCCCCAACTCTGTGCGCCCCACAGAGCCAAGCAGCCTCCCTGTCATGTGCGCCTCAGAAAAGCCATGTGCAGCGACCACGCTGTGAGGAGCCTGGGGCTTCAGGGCTCTCAGGAATGTGGCGGGAGCCAAAAGTGAGTGTATATAAACACAGATGGAGATATTCATGTGAGCGGACGTGCATAGAGAGGCATTAAGCACAACTTAAAAAAAATTTATAAACTTTAAAATGTTTATAAATTTTCAAAGGGGCTTGGACCTTTAAAATGGCTAAGGAGTGGGCCTCCCCCGTGGCGCAGCGGTTGAGCACTGGACTGCGAAGCTGCCCGCAGCCTCTGCAGTGCCGGTTCGATCCCCAGCTGCCAGGTGAGGGTCCCACATGGCATGCAGACCTCTCCTGCTGCCCGCTGCTCCCCTCAGCAGTGTACTTCGTCAGTCTGCCTGTTCTGCTCCCCACTTTGGCTCTGGTGAATTCTCTCACCCTCCCGCGCTTCTGACTATACCCAGTGCTTGTATAAATAAATCTTAAAAATAAATAAAAATAAATAAAATAAAAAGTTCATGTTCTCAGAGTTTTATTTAAAAATAAAATAAAATGGCTAAGGAGCACCATTTGAAGAGGAAAGGCCAAGGGTAGCTGTGCGGCAGGCGTGGGTAAGGCCAGGCCATGGGAACATCACACTATGCTCTGAAGGTGAGTCTAGCTGTGTTACAAGCATCAAGTTTCAAAAAAAAACCCTTCAAAGCAAAAATTATTCAAAAAACGTAACTATGAATAGCTTCTGGTCAAATCTACACAAAAGACAACCCACACAAATTAAAATTCAAGTAAAAATGAGCACATGGGCCTCCCCTGGTGGCAAAGCGGTTGAGCGCTGGGCTGTGAAGATGCCTGCAGCCTCTGCAGCGCTGGTTCAATCCCCAGCCGCCAGCGAGGGTCCCGCATGGTGCGCAGACCTCTCCTGCCGCCCGCTGCTCCCCTCAGCAGTGTGCTTCGTCAGTCTGCCTGTTCTGTTCCCCGCTTTGCCTCTGGTGAATTCTCTCACCCTCCCGCGCTTCTTACTGTACCCACTGCTTGTATAAATAAACAAACCTAAAAAAATAAATAAATAAAAATGAGCACAAATAGAGGGAATATCAGGACACCTCAATTCTAGTACACTTTTCTTGAACTTAAGTTCTCAATCTGAAGCATTTGTTGAAAAAAACTGCAATCTTTAATCCAGTTCCAGAGAGGCTAAAAACACCAACCCTTAAGCCAAAGTATCCCCAAGGAGTCACAACCTACTTGGAAACAGGTCAGCTGGAACCTACTTGGAAACAGGCCGACTGAAGCTGGCACGTCAGTGTGACACCCCCAATAACGAGGGCCACAGGAGGCTTGAAGTCCAGGACAAGGGGGCAGCCCCAGACATGGAGAGCCTGCGCTGGCCTGCCCGAGAGCCATGGCCCGGGCAGGTCACCACGAGACACACCACCGCTGCGTTCCCATCTCCCGTGATTGGCCAGCACATCTGCACAGAGGGTCAACCTACAAAGCCGCTCCACACATGACTCCTTTTGCAGAAATGACCTGACCGAACCCCTGCTTACTACATGTACCCAAAGCAGCAAACAAGGAACTTTAAAAAAAGAAACAAAGTTACTTTTCTGTTCTTCTGGAGGCCACTGGCAGAGCTATGCCTGTCCTAACTGAGCACTCATTACTGCTAACCTGACCCCCAAAACCCAAAAGCTGCTGGAACCCAGCGACGACGCAGGCAGGAATCCTCACTGTGGCTCATTCCTCAGCTGCGGCAAGGAGCCCCATCCAGCTGAGCAGCGCACTCTACTCCACTGGTCAGTTTCCACACGAAGACCACATCCTTTACCACAACAGCTTTATAACTGTTTAATATCTTGCTCAGCTTTTTCCTTTTTAAAGGTTTTATTAATTTGAACACCTCTTCTCCCTGATCAGGCTTCACCATCGGCGTTTTGTCCTCTTCCATGCAAACCTCCGTGGGGTTCTGAGTGAAGGCTGTACTTACAAATGCACCGGGAAACGCCCATCTTCATGCTTTGGGCCTTCCCAGTCAGGAACAAAAGGTTCACGTGTCTGGATAGTTTTTTTTTTTTTTAAAGATTTATTTATTTATGCATACAAGATCTGGGGTACAGGCCAGAGATGCGGGGGGGTGAGAGGACTCATCAGACAGAGTGGGAACCAGAACAGGCAGACTGACTGAAATCCACTGCTGAGGGGAGCAGCGGGGAGACAGTAGAGGTCTGCTGCGCCATGTGGGTTTCTCACTGTCCGGCCGGGAATCAAATTCATGCTGCAGAGGCTGCAGATAGCTTCATTGTGCAGTGCTTAACCTCCTGTGCCACCAGGGAGGGTGTTTGGGTATCTTCAACGCTCCTCAGGAAGACATTCCAGCTTTCCTCACAGAAGCACAACAGCGTAAGCCCAGGTTTCTTCCACGCAGCCTCTGGTCCTGCTCCGCCTATTCCAAGAGGTCAGAGATGGTCCTTGTGGGGCTCCCTGTGAGAGTCAGCACTCTCCCCGCCCCGTGCGGGCTCCCCAGCTGTGTGTGGGGAAACACACACTTGAAATAACCAGTCTGGGCCTGCTTCGCCAGTGGCTCGCTCCACCTCAAAGCCTGGGCAACGGAGACAGGGGTGCTCACTTGGGCTCCGCGCAGTCCACAACGAGGCCAGCGCGTAGGCTCTGGGGACATCTCGGGTTCCTGCTCTGTTCAGTCTGCAACAGCTGTTCTGAGTCACTGTGTCCGTTTTCCCACAAAAGGGCATGTTTCATGAACAGGGTCGATGTCGACTGCACACCTGGAATTAGGTTCTCCCACAGGGCCTTCTGACCCCGCTGTCGGGCCCTGCTGGGCTCCTGCTCCCTCCTCTTCCATCACGCCGGCCGGGGGGCCCTCAACTAGCATGGGCCGCTGCAGCCACTGCTGCCTAGTCGCCGATGCCGCCTTCCATTTCCCACAGGTTCCTGCTGCCTGAGCCCAGCAGGGGCACACTCTGCAGTCCTTACTCAACATTCTGCCCATCGCTCCTGTGACACAGCGTGGAGGCGCAGGACGCCTGCCTGGAAGCTACTGTGGGGTCGGTGACTGTCTCTGTAACCCCGGTCTCAGCACCAGCAGACACCACCTGCTTTGCACGCTCTTCCTTTTCTCCTCCGGGGGTGAACTTACTGATAAAGGAAAGCTGCTTCTCACCGGTCATTTTACTGGAACATGAGAGGCAAGTGTGGTGCTCAGGCGGCCCTGGTGGAGGCCACATCAAGCACAAACCTGCAGTCTTGGCCAGAGAAAGCGCTGGACGTCCTGCAGAATGAAATGCACAGCTGAGTAATCAGCAGAGTCCCAAATGCTTCACTTATTCCTTGGCAGAGGCAAGAGGTATGCCAACGTCGCCCTCTGCAACGGGGCAGATGCAGAATGCTACCTGAGGCAGTGAAACCAAGACAGGATGCAGGCTCTGCTTTGAACAGCAAGGCCTGGCACCCTCCGCAGAGCCATCTGTCCCAGAAACGACTCCGTCCCGACGCTGGCCGCAGCTGGGAAAGCAAGGGCTGTCGGTCCCGTCTCAGCACTGCCGACCACTCAGTCTCACATTTCAAACCCAAGAGTAAAGAACACAGTCAAAATTGAGGAACTACGTGTCTGTCACCGGCATAAATGGCAGCTCAGGGCCCAGGGAACGCAAACGCATGAGATGTTTAACCCTTACACTTCAGAAAAGATGAGCTTGTGTTCGGAATTTAAAAAGACAAAAAAGAGAAACGCTGAGAAAGGAAACATAGAGGCGACTCTGACACGCCACACTTGCCCGCGACAGTGTGAGTGGCTTGATTGCTTCCATGGGGAGAACAAGGCAAAAGGCCACTGAGAGGAAAACACCGACATTAAGTCAGCCGACACTTCGCAAATAAAACCCAGGCAGGGCAGGCCAAGCCAAGTCATCGTGCTTTAAAGATAGAAAAATACACACAGAGGAAGCAAATAACCGAGCACCACACAACTAATAAACAGAATAAAAAGCGAGAACTTTCCAAAGGCGCCCCAGGATGCTGCTGTCGCATCTGCACCCATGACTCCGTGTTCCATGGCCACATGCTCTCCCTGGGCCACTCTGTGTGCTCGCCCTCCCTGGGGGCTTCCGTCTCCATGTACACGGGCTTTGACCACAGTTTCTTGCCTGACGTTAGCTTTTCCTAACACGTGGCACCCAGGAAATTAAGTAAATTAATTTTGTAAGTTGTAATCTATGAGAAAAGTCTAAATTTACATATTGAGAAGTACAGAAATTCCTATCCACCTACATTTTCTTTCTTAAAATTGCTTTTGACTCTTATTCACTATTACCAGAACGCAAGCAGAAAACATACGCACTCTAACAAGGAAGAGAAATGTGTGTGTGTATACGGCTTCTCTGACTATGAAACATCTAGCAGGGCCTGGAACTTTTGGAACTACCATAAGAACAAGAGGCCAACCACCGAGAGCAGCCCACAGAAGCCAAGGCCTGGCACACACTCACTCTTGTCTATGCTTCCTTGTGCGTCACTCGAAATCTGCGTGCCGATGTGTCTCAACTCTGAAAACATGTGGGGAAAAACAATTAGAAAAAAATGTCACGTCATGTCAATCAGAATTTTTAAAAGAAAGCGTTAACTGGATACTCACCCTTTTCATCTTTCTGCTTAGAAAATTCATCAAGCCTTTCCTGTTAATAAAAAAAAAAAACAAAACACCTGATGTGTATGTGGGACAGGAGCCATGTTCCTGGCCCCATGCGCCCACAGAACATGCCAGGGTGCCCCTCAGCTGGGTGCTCCGCGTGCGGGCACGATGACTGTTACCTGCGTCTTCTTAAATTCCTTTTCAAGTATCTTCTTTTCATTTCTCAGTTGCTTGAAGTCTTGAGTCTGCTTGACGGCAGTCTCTTTAGAGCACGGAGAAGAGAGAGGAAAATAATGTACCAACTTGGTGACGGCCATTCAGCAAACACTCAAAATCTGATGGCCTGAGTTTTTCTCATTTCTTAACTTTGAAACAGTATGTGTAAAAAGTTACTGTTCCTTCCGTGCTTTATCAGAGACAGGTCTACACACAGGAACTCTTTCTTATCTATACAACCACAGAACTGGCAGTGGTCTTGGAACCCTTTCCAACCCAGGCATAAACCTAACCCTCTATTCTGGCAAGAACCCAGTGCAGATGACCTTCAATGCTGAAACCCAAGAGGTTCTGGAACTGTGCTTTTATCTCGGGAGATAAGTAACACCGTTCCCTTGATCTGGGGAGGGACTCTTCTCGGCGCCAGCCGTAGGAGCTGTCTGTCACTTCCTGCCGGGGCCCTTCCACCAGGCCAAGAGCTCTCACTGCTAACACCTTGTAAATCTGCACTGGATTTTTACAGCTCTTCTCTGGAGCTCTTATTCTTCACTCTGGCTCTTGGTTCTGAAGCACCAAATGACTCCAGAATCTGACAGCAGTGATTTCCCCGAACACGTTCCCACACTACTGGCTATAAGGAGTCCAGTCCCCTGAAGAGCACAGAGGCATCTCCTCCTCCCCCGAGGGCCTGGGCTCCAGCATCTCTTCGCCTGCAGGGCGCCATCCGCTTACTAGGAAAGTCCCTGCCACGTGCAAGTAAAGGCTATACTTTTGCTTTAAAGGAAATCTGTGCTGGAAGCTGCATGGTCTTACAGGTGTCTCGGGTCTCTAAAAATATTCCTCGCATCAATACTTGGCCGCACTGCGAAGCATAGGTGTGGCGCTTCCCGCACCTGGCCAGCATATACAGCACAGCAGAGGGGTACGGTGCACAAACATTCAGAGTCTAAAACACGGGCTCAGCTAGGTGAGTTAGTGACCAGACATGCTCCAATAACTTCTATATGCCCTGTCGCGGTGAATCCCCACTCCTGCTTTGGACTCTTGGTGGACAGCGGCCACCCCTGAAGCCCAGCAGAACCCTCGCAGCGGGTCAGCACGGCAGCTGAGTGGCCACTATAGCCCAGCGGGGTGATGCTGTGCCCCACCGTCCAACAAAGAGGAAAAGACAGGACACTAGAGTCTGTTTCCGGCAAGGCTTGCTGGCTGCCCCTGAGGATCTCCGCATGGCCCTGCAGGTGGAGACCAGATGCCCCAACCCACCCACACAGGGAAGGTCAGTCAGGGGCCACGTGCCGACCCTGAAGTAGGGAAGGCCACAGTGCGCATGTGGAGCCATAACTGTCTAAACACCAAGTATCTTGGCAGTAAAGCAGGAATGAGAGGTCCCAAGATTCAACTTTCAAGTTAAGTCCTCTGTGGCATGGCTGTCTCTATAGTTAACAGCCGGGACTGTTCTTCTTTGAGAGGGACGTTTCCAGAATGTGCCACACTACGTCTGTGTCACCTCTGGTGACTGAGCAGTGCCTGTCACAGCCCTTGAGGCTGTCCTCGGGGTGAACGTCAGAGCAGAACCCTCCAGCGCTAGTCAAGCACCATAGCGCACCCAGCTCCAGCCCACCATGTGCTCCCCCAATTACCTTCCAGCTTCTTCACCTTGGCTTCGAGTTTCTTCTTCCTAGTAACACAGTTTTAAAAGTTAGAACAATTAAAAATAAAATTGTTCAGCAGAAAAAATTTACAATTGGTGGCACATATTTTTCAGGTGACTGAGGCCCATGTGACAAAAAATAGGAGTGACAGCGAGCAGCACCCCTGGCCCGTGAGGGCGAGCTGAGCGTTCAGAGCCTGCCTTCTGCGCATCACCAGTGGGCAGGGCCGAAGAAACCAGTACCTTCTGCCACGTCTGAAGTGGCTGCAGGACCTGCAGAAGCCTACCCGGAGGGGGCAGCAGGGACCTGCGCTTGCTTAAGGTTGGCTTCCGAGCCAGAGCGGGGGAAGGCATAAGGAAGAGCCGGCACCTACTGCTGAGTCACGGCTGTATCAGACTGCTGGGCATGAGGCTCATGAGCTTCGTACTAAACTTCAAAATAAAGGTCTGGATGGTTCTGATGAGCCCGTCTTATTAACAGTAAGAATGACCACCATCCCCGGGACAGGGTCAAGATAGGGGGGCACCGGTCTTCCTGCCCTAGGGAGCTCTTTCCCTGCGCAGCCCTGCAACGCAGCACAGCCAAGGCAGCTCTCTCCGCAGCCCATCAGGCGGGCACAGCTCCCACTCCACACATGTGCAAGCCGGGCTGACAGGAGCGCCAGGTCAAGAGGACACAGTGAATCGTGGCTGACAAGACCAGAGGGCAGAGAGACACAGCTCAAGGACCAGCTACCCTGCAGCCTGCTCCACGTGCACTTACTGGGCGTCGCTCCTCAAGCACTGCTCCTTCACGCGGGCGTACTCCTGGTGCGTGTCCTGGTAGAGCTTTAGAGAGCTCTGGAAAAAGAAACACGGAGGTACCGTCAATTTAAAACACCAGCAGCAACGCCTTACTTCGGTCTCGGTGAGCTAAGTTATTAAATGTCAACAAGAAACAAACCCTAAGAGTAAATAAATTAGGCGGAAAGCAAAGGGCGAGTCATTGACTATTCCAGTGGACATAAGCAGAGCCCTGTGATATGATTAGCAATCAAACAGAACTGTAAAATTTAAAATATACTAACTTTAAGGCAAATCCAAATCTTCACAATACTAAATGGCTAATATTTTTCTCACAACCAATTAAAATTCAGTAAAATCCCAAGCTATTTTAGGACGAACAAATCCCCGTCATCACTGCTTCTGTGCAGGCAGGCCGTCACACGGTCACCAGGTCGGGAAGGGTGCAGACCCACCCCAGCACCGCACGCCCTGGTGAGGAGGCGCGGGTGGCACCCTCTGGCCAGCGCTGGGCGAGCTCAGCGACTCTGCCTCACAGGCGAGGGCCAGGAGAGCAGCTGGCTTGCTCCTTCCGGCCACAGTGAACTGACAGGCTAGTCAGCATTTCTTGCTCAGGTCTCACTCCAGCCTCACGTTTCCTCCCAGACAGAGCGGCGGAAGTCACCGGGCAGCAGAGGCCTGAGACACAGAGGCTGTGTGGCTTCCCCAGGCCGAGGATGGGCACCAGTGCGGGCACCGTGGACGCGGCGTGACTAGAGGGAGGCAGCGCCGAGAGCGGCCCGGAGCCAAGCACCCAGCCCAGCTGGCTGTGCCCGCCCCCGCAAGCTGCCTGACTCGAAGAGCTTCAGATTTTTTTATTGTGTAAAAGCCAGAGTCTCTCTCCCAAGACTCCTATAAAGAATAAACCAAAGTTTAGGTAGAAAGGCAAGTTTACGGCATTTTAAAAGAACTGTTTTATGCAAGTGAACTCTGGAATGAGGAAGAGGATTTCTCCACCATGACTTTTTGCATCTTATTTTACTTTTAAGATAAGAAAAATGTGATAAGTCAACCAATGCAAGACAAAGTCACACAAATTCACAGCTAGGCGCCTCTACTGAACCTCTCCATGGCACAGCACCTAACCCAGCACACCACGGGGCGACTCGTGCAGGGCCCACGCCGCCCCCAGCCCGTGCTCCCGCCACACCAAGGCCCCTGGAAGCACAGCCCGCAACCGGCGGCAGCGAATTCTCAGGCTGTGCTGACGGCAGAAGCAGCTCTGTAGGAAAACAAGTGTAGGTACCTTTTTCTCTTCAAGCTCTGCTCTTAAAGATCCCAGATCTTCCTGACATTGCTGCAGAGAAGAAATTTTTTGAAGCATTTGTTCCACTTGGTGGTGCAGAGTACTATTCTCTCTACAAACGGACAATGCAGCAACATTACACAAGTGTCTACAGCCAACTGCAAAATCTACTGGCGGTTTTAGATTTTATTTCTAACTTAAAAAGGAATAAAGGACGCTTTTTAAAAGCATTCCCTCGACAGAACACAGCCCTCATGTCCCACTTCTTTGGCATTGAAGTTTAATTCTAATAAAACCACATTATTTCTTTTACAAGCCACCTGAGGAACAAGGAGAGTGCGCTCGCAAGCCCCGGGAAAGCCGGCCCAGCACTCCGGCTCACCTGGCCGCAGACGTCTCTTCCAAACTCGCCCTCGTTTATTCTACTTAAATCACGGGTGACCGGCGATTCAGTTTATAGCCGCCCTTTGCCTTCTTCTAAGTGACACGTGTAAACCAAGTGTGAAATGCTGCTAAACTTCCAAGTCTGTTTTACACTGTGTAAGCCACACGGGTAAAGAGCCAGGTAAAAAGGCCCGGTCACACAGACGATAACTGGACACCTTCATCTCTGGCCATTAAGAGGCGAAATTTCAAATTCTAGGAAGAAGTTCACGCGGATGATCTGACAGTCAGGAAATGTGACTCTTCCTGAATTGAGCCTCCAAGCCACACTCTCCATCTGTCATACCAGGGGGCACTTTGTCCCAGACTGTTTAGAATCTAGTTTGATGAATGTCTACCCCAAATCAGCTCTGAGAATCAGGGGCTTACCTTCTGGCAAACTGGAGCTGTGGAACCTCAGTTAAAGAAAACTGATAGTTATCTGTGATACTTGTCTGAAAATAAAATTCACTTTAAAACAACATGCAATAAAATAAAATTTAAATAATAAAAAAACAACATGTAATAATCTGTGTTCAAGATCATAATTGGAAGAAAATGATCATTCAAAGTTTCATCTGTAACAGAGTGACCCCTATTAATTACATATGCATCAAAAGTCAAGCTATACTTCTCTAAATTAAGTCTTTGATTAAGTATGATTGACTACAACTAAATTCCAAGAATAAAGACAAAGTGATACGCGGCTAGTGGAGAAGGCCTTGGTCCCCACACTCATCTGTCAAAAAGCCTGTCCGTTTCTCCAACAGTGGGACAAATCTGCATAATTCCAGCAGCAGAGTCTGCACTTACTAAGACCACATGCGGACATGTTTAATGGGTAATGAGAGAAAAAATCCAGAGAACGTAAAATCTAGATAAAATCTATCTCCTGCTGCCAGTCATATGCTGTAAGCGGCACAAAGTCACGCTTCCAAGTCCGCCTCCCGCAGATCCCTGCTCCCGCGTGGAGACACGCGCATGGCTGTTTGAGACGTGTTGTGCGAGAGTGCAAGTGTAACACTGAGAGGTGTTCCCTTACTTTCCTGAAATTCCTGCTACCTTGGCAAGAAAGAGAAGTTCATGATCTGGTGACATGAAATGTGCTCTCTGCCCCGAGACGGGGGTAAGAAACGAAAGGACCAGAATCACACGGCGCATCAGGAGCCCAGCTCTCCGGCACGGGCACCTGCCACACCACTTCAGCTCGCGGAGCAGATGGGGGCGGGAGGGCAGACTTTGAGCAAATACTCACTTGGAGCAAATGTCAAACGTGTTTCCAAAAGATCAATACTTACCTGTAGCTGAAGCCAAAACCAATGAACACATCACAGATTGCAAATTCAAGAATAATCAAAAATTTAAATTTTTAATATTTATGCTAATTATTTTTCTTTCAAAAATTTTGCAAGTTTTAGAAAAGCGCATCCATGGTTTCCCTGAGAGATCGCTGGTATGCATGGGCACCAGCGAGCAAGCGCAGGCCTCTCTTCCGAGAGAGGAAACGAGCACACGGTCTCCTAACGCTGGCCTGCGCCAGCAAAGGAGCAGGAAAAGGATATCGTCACATTTCTTCTGGTACTCCGTGAACAGGTTGCTGTGACAAGGAGAGAAGCGGGAGGTGAGAGGAAGACACACAAGGTCACAACCACGTTTCCCAGGCCCCAGGCCCTGCTCCCCGGGGCAGCACGCGGCTATACGCCACGGAACACGGCCACGTCTGCCCTCGCGGGTGCCCAGCGGGCCGCCAGGCGGAGCTGCAGAAAGGAATCACCACTCACACAGAGGGGAAATGGTTCACTTTCCCAGATCCAAAAAATAACCTCCCGGTTCACACCAGAGGCTACGCCAGGCCTAAAGCCACACGACCAGAGAGAGAGTGGGCGCACCATGGACACGGCATGCGCGAGCCCGGGAGGAGCGGGCCTCGGGGCGCAGGGCCCCCACGTGGCTGGAAAAGACGCGAGCCGACGACGGGTGCCGCGGCCGTAAGCGTTTGCCTTTGGCGGTACCAGTAAAAACTCTCTTTGGAGTCCTCTCCATGAGCGAAACACGAACGCGTGGATTTTTGGTAAAGCAAAGCGGCAGAAGCGCACCGCGAGAAAGCAGAGGGGCGCACGCACACATGCGCCCGCAGGGTGAGTCTTTCACTCCAAATCTCTCATTCACGTTAACCCGTACCCCGGAAACTCGCTCACTTTACAGAATTAAAAAGCACATCTCACACCTATGAAAAACTTACTTGAGGTCCAGCTAAAAAGACCTGGGGTTTAGAAAAGAGGTTTGCAACCCTCCACTTGAGCGAAAATAACTCCCGAAGCCCCTTCGGTGGACAGGCTGACCACCCATGCGGGGCGGGCGGCGAGAGGCCGGACCCGGGAATACTCACTCGATGTTGATAATCTTCTGCTTCAAAGTAACTAATGCTTCCACGTGTTCATTTAAATTCTGAAAGAAAAGAAATCACAATCAATCATTTGTTTTTAAAACAGTAAATGACGGTGCGCACGACTGCCCGGGACGCGCCGGGGCCTGGGGAGGCAGCGGGCGCACACCCTTCAATGCACGGACTGCGGGCCACGCTCGCGAGGCCCAGACAGCCGAGCGGGGACAGAGTGATGAAAATCAGCCGGATGAGAGAATAAAAACCCCATGGGCAGGACCATCAGGAGCAGCAATGTGGGGCCAGGAGGGATCGGGCCCTCTGCATGGCGGGGCACCACCTGGGGCTCGGGTACCGGCCACGCAGAGCCCCCCTGGGACTCGGGACCGCGCCCACGCTCCTGCCACCCAAGCACAGGCTGTTCTCGGGTGACCTTTCCTTGAACGCGCCTTCTCCGGAGGAAGCGCCCAGCCCTTCCCAGCGCGCAACAGGGCGCGCTTCGCGTCTAACCCCACCCATCTCTCCGCACAGACGCCCGGGAACAGCGCAGCCCCTGCTCGCACCAGCCCGTGTGCCAAGGCCCCGGGCGCACAGGGACGCGCCCAGAGGGTGGGCGGAAGCGCTCGGCCACGGCCCCACCTGCCGGACGTGGCTTGGCCTGGGGACCTGGGGGCTGACGTGTGTCGCCTCCGCTCTCCAGCCGCTGACCAGGCCCTCGCGCAAGGGCCCTGAGCACCTTCCCGAACTCACACGCACAGGCAGCGGGTTTCCCTGCCCAGCGCCCGGCACACAGCCCCCGCACGCTCCTCGGGGCCCAGGCCTGTCAGGGCAGGCCGAAGGGTCCCGTCTCCGCTGCACCCAGCTCCCCTGGGGCTGGCGGTGCCCACACAGCCTCTGCCCACCGGGAGGCTGCGCGCTTGAGGGACGGCACACCGCATCCAGCGTGACCAACAGACACGCGTGCGACCGGATCGTTAAAACGTCACCACACACGCGCACCCAGCGCCAACACTCACCGAGCAGAAGCTGTCCGTTTTAAACACTTGGGTTTCCTACCAGACCCAGAAGGCCCTCTCCCCCAGAGGCGAACATCAAGGCTCCTTCCATGCTATTCAAGGACTTCCACGCCTTTCCCCTCCTTGTCCTCAGCCGCTCTGGCCCGGGCTCGTGCGTGGGGGACGCGCGGCGAGAATAAAGGGGCTGACGGGTGGACAGCGCGAGCCGCGTAGCTGGCGCGCCGAACGACAGAGCCTTCCTCCCAGGGAAACACATGCCCCCGGCGCTGCAGCACGAAACCTCAGAACAGGAGAGGCAAAGCAAAAACTGTCTGATTCCAGAGACAAATAAACCGAAGCCACGGGCAGAGCCGCAGGAAGCAGGCGGCGCCGGCCTCCGCTGCCCAGAAGCCAGACAGCAGCCTCCGCAGCGTCCGAGGAAGAGGGCGCCTGGGAGAGGCCGGCACGAGCCGCCCAAGCGTGGCGGCGGATGGGCGACCCCACGTCCCCAAGGTCTCCCCAACCTGCTCAGGAGCGGCCCGACCGCGCCGGCACAGACGGGAGGCAGGATCCCAAGGCAGCAGCCCCGGCCGCAGGACACCAGACCCCACCAGCTTGCAACATCGCCAAGCAATTTTTTCTACCTGATGAAATGTCACTACGCTGGCCAGCAAGTCTGGAACCAGGAGCCGCGGCATCCCGACAGGTAGGGAGGCCCCGCAGACCAGGTGCCCTCGCACAGGCTCCCACTGCGCCTACCGCCAGGCCCCTGGGCACCGCTGCAAGCTCCGGGGGGCTCCTCCTCCCAGGCCAGCGGCACACGGCCCGGTTTCTCTGATGACTGCTCTTCTCCCAGCAGCTGGAACCCGACTGTCTGGAGCTTCCACCCTACTGTGCGCTGCAAAGCTGAGATTTACTCCCAGTCCTCTGCCCTTTTGTGTCCTTGCAGACCCAAAGGGCACGAGGGCCACTCAGTTCTCACTAGCCCACTCCCCAGCGCCGCCCTTCTACTGCTCATGTAAGGTGGGGGGGTCCCCAGGAAAAGGGGAGGCTCCAGGCTCCCTGCCCCCCCCCCAAAAGCAGGGTGGAGCTGAGCAGGGAGAGAAGCGCAGAGGAGACTGAGGAAGGAAAAGGAAGAAGCAGGGTGGAGCCAGAAGGAGCCGTGGAGGAGGCACATGGAGCCGAGAGACACGTAAAGAAGCTGCGCTTGCCTTGTGGGCGTGGACGGGTGACACAGATGCGGGTGAGACCCGTGGGGAGGGGACCATGGCGGCTTTTGTCTTGATTTTGATTTTGCTCTTTTCCCCCCAGACTCGTCTGGTGGTTTCTGACCCTTTTCTGTGGGTCCCCACTGGAAGGTGCTTTAATCTGAGGCAGCTTTGGGGCCTTGCTCTGGGCCAGTCCTGCTCGGGTGGACTTTTACCCACGAGGGGACGGGTCACTTTTTGGGTGCTTGATTTAGAAACCAGATTCTGCGCCTTTCCCGTGTTGTTTCCTAAGTGTATTAAAGTTCCTTCCCATCAAAGTCTCCTATGCTTTGTGTTGCTAGGGCGGAGAGCAGAGCCTATTGAGAGCAGGCAGGGGTGCGGGGTCTGGGGTGCCCCCTCCTGCCCTGTAACACTCAGACCTCCCGCTCCCACTTCCGCTCTCCCGACCCAGCGCCCTCCCAAGTGTCCCTGCGAGCACTTGGAGTGGAGCGAAGGAGCCTGGGGGAGGCCCCCCTCGCCCTGCCCGCCCTGGGAAGGGACTCTGCCCCCAGCTGAGCACACTGGGCGAAGGGGCACCAGGGTCCAGCCCGGAGCCAGCCTGGTGCCGACAGGAGGTGACGTGAGGTAACCGTGTAGGAGGGAAATGTTCGGGGCACAGACCAGGGTCGGAGGCAGGCCCCAGGGGAGCAGGCTGCGCCCTCGGCTGGAAGAGCTGCTCAGAGGACTGTCCTGGGCCTGGTGGGAGGTCTGGCAGCACACACCTCTCCTCATGAGTTGGCCAGACACCCCCGCCACCCCACGGTGGCTGCAGAAAAGTGTTACTACCACGAAGGCCTGAGTGAGATGTAGCTCTGGAAAGACCTGCTGCAGGTGGGCTTAGCTGGCCTCGGGGAACTGGATTTCTGGAAGGTTCCCACTACTCCCCGATTGAGGAGAGGCTCCCTGTGCAGGAGGCGTGTGACGTGGTCTACGCTGAAACTGCCTTCCTTTGGGGAGTCTGGGATTTGGGTACAGCCTAGGCATGGGCTGCCCACTTGGTCAAACCCCAATAACGTTTGTCTCTCATGAGTGTTCCCAATGCACAGCGCTTCAGGGTGTCACACACGGAGCCGAGGGAGCTAAGCGCAGCGCGGCCCGCTTCTTGCTTTGGCCCGTGCCTGTCCCCCCAGCGCCCTGCACTCCGGCATGGGTCGCGCCTGGTCTTCCTAGCAGTAAGGATTTGTGGGTGGCCTCAGGGACCTCCAAGAGTGCCATCAAACCTCCTGCAAATGCTCCCCAGACAACACCAGACTCTATTTTCCCAATGTTCCCTCAGTGAAGACTGGGAAGGAGCAAAGAGCGCGCGCGGACGTGGCCACACAGCACGCGCTCTGGGCAGGACCTGACCCCGAGGGAGGGGCCGCGGCTGTGGCACCATCCAGCTCCCTCTCCGACGGGAGCTGCCGCCACCCGGCTAACACCCCGACATCACCAGGCCTCTGCATTTCTGGAGCTTTTCTAGTAAGTTCATAATTCTTTCAAAATACATTTTTTTTTTCCGTAAATCGCATTGATCACATCCACTGCTTTGCTGGGGGTCACCTGGTGACCTGTTCCGCTTGTGTCCCCTCCAGCCGCCACATCTCTTCCCGCCTTTGCAGAAGGAGCTTTGCAGAAACAAGGACCGCATCAGAGACAGCACTCACAGCCAACCACCCGATTTCCCGGGCGCCACAGACAGGGCCACGAGCCTCGCCCTGGGTCTGCCTCCAAGTCGCCGGGCGCAGCCAGGTGGGTCCCTGCACCAGGCCGCGGGCAAGACCCCTTATGGGAAAAGCCTGTGGACGCTGGATTTGGAGCCGGCAGGTGGCTCCTGCTGCTGCTCCAAGTGGCGAGGCAAGGGCCTAGGGGGACTCCTCGGGGCCTCCGCCATCGCCTCTGGGCTGCAGCCCGATGCAGGCTGTGCAAGCGAAAGGGACCAGGGCGCGTCTCGTCTCTGGCTGAACCAGAAGCTACAGCGGCTCCTGTGATCATGAGACCGCGATGGGCTGAGCTCACCCCTGAAGACCCCGGCAGAGGCAGCATGATGTGACCCTGCGGTGCGCCGTCCGCCCAGCCAAGCAGGATCCCAAATCCCCACAGCGGCCTCCGGGGCCCCCCAGTAAGGCCGCCCGCCTGCACACCTCCTGCCTGCCTGCCTGCCTGCCTGCCGGGGGGCATTGGTGCGCCCCCCAGGCCCCTCTGTGCACAGCCAACCCCGCCACCACAGACCTGGACGGGCCTCCGGGAGGGGCTGACTAGGTCGGCAGAGCTCATCTGAACGGCATCGGCGTCCTGAGCAGAGAGACCCCGGGCAGCCTTCCCCCTCTCTGAGCGCGTGGACACAAGACAGCCCCCCGCCAGGTGTCCAAGGTGCGGGGCCGGGCTCAGCCCCCCAGCTGAGGACTGTGAGAAGCACCTGCTCACAGGCCACTCGGCCTGGGCCACTCTGGGACAGCCGCCTGAGCCGCTCGCTCCACGCCCCGCGGGGCCAGCCCGGCCTCCTTCCTCTGCCAAGCTCCGGGGGCCTCAGCCCTGCACACGGGACCGTCCACGCCGCCGCGGAGGGTCTCTCCCTCGGTCAGCTGTGACCTCCTCTGTGAGCCTTTAAACTTCAGTCCCACCGGCCACTGGCCCCTGTCACCTTAACTTGCTGCCAACGCAGTTATTACTGAGCCGGGTTTGGAGCGCGGGAGCCGGACCCCAAGGGCTCAGCGCCTGCCTTGGTGAGGGAAAAACTCAACGTTGAGACCAGAGCTGAGCAAAGAGCAAGAAACGGAGGGTCACATCGGGTCAGGAGAGCCTCTGGGCAGAGAGGGGCCGGGTGGCCGCTGCCGAGGGGCGCGCGGCAGGAGTCGGGGTGCGGGGAGGGCGGGGTGGGACGCGGGCGTCTCCGGGTGACCTGGTCCGTGCACCTGGAGGAGCGGCCGGCGCCGGGTGTGCGGGTTTCCACACGCGATCTCCGCCGTCACGCGGGTTTTCCAAACAGTCCGCTCTCACCAGCCGGGCGCCCCGCCCCACGCGCCCGCCGCCCGGCCCAGCTCCCTCCCTCCCGCCTCGCCTGCTCCCGGAACGTGACCCCCGCGCCCCCCAGACCCGAGGCTGCAGCAACTCCAGGGTCTGCGCCGCGTCCCCCCGCGCGGCCCCCACGCGCGTCCTCCCCGCATCGGACACCGCAGGCGGCCCGGCCCGGCCCCCGCGGGGCGCGTCCCGCAGGCAACACGCACAACCCCAGGGGGGCCGCGGGCAGCCCGGGCTGCGGAACCTGAAGCCGCGGCTCCCCTCCGCCGCCCGCCGCGCCCCGGGGCCGCCGGCCTTGCGCGCGGAGGACCCGCCGGGTCACCGCAGCCCCGGCCCGCGCCGCCCGGCGCCGACAGCTGCGCGGGGCGGCCCGCGGCCTCGGTCCAGACGCGGCGCGTCAAGAGGCCGGCCCCGAGGCTCCACGGCGCGGCCCTGCCCTGCCCTGCCCCGGGCGAGGAATGCCCGGCGCGCCGCCCCGCCCGCCCGCCCGCCCGCCCGGCCGAAGGCGGCCCCGGGCCCGCGCGCCAGCCCAGGCCGCGCCCGCCCCCGCCGCCCCCGCCGCCCCGCGCCCGAGCAGAGGCCGCCCCGCCGCTCACCTGCCGCATGGAGGCGCAGCCCTGGCAGCGCGCGAGCTCGGCCGCCGTCCCGGGCGCCGCCGAGCGGGTCTCGCCCGGCATCATGGTGCCTCCGCCGGGCGCGCCGGGCCCGCTCGCCTCAGGGGCCCGCGGCCTCGGCCCCGCCCTGGGCCTGCTGACGCCGCCGGGGCCGCCGCCCGCCAGGCCGCCTCCCGCCGCGTCCGGGCGGGTCCATCCGCGCGCCGAGGTCCCCGTGGGGCCGGCGAGGGCGGTCGGGCCGAGCCGCCGCGGGCGCCACCGAGAAACGCCGCCCGGCGCGGCCCCCGAGCGCGACGCGGCCCCGCCAGGCCCCGCCCCGCCCTGGCTCGCCCCGCCCCCGGCGCCGCGGGGCTGCCCGAGGCGCCGCCGGAGCGGAGTCGGGAGGGGAGCGGCGTCGCCTCGGCGGCGGCGAGGCCCGCACCGCGAGGCACGAGGGGCGCGGCGTCGGGGTGCGCCTCCTCCGCGGGTGGGGGCTGCTCTTCCGCCACGGGCCGGCGCGGTGCAGGCGTGAGAGAGACGCCTAAAGCGCCCCACGGGGGCGGGGCGGGCCGCCCGTGACGTCACCCAGGCGCCGCGGCATCGGAGGACCCCGGCCGGCCCGGGCGAGCGCGCCGGCGCCAGGAGGGGCCGCGGCGGCCGGGAGAAGGCGGACCCGGCTCCCGGCGCGGCTGCCCGCGCCGCCCCTCGCCCCCTCCGCCCGCTGGGCCCTGCGGGCCACCCGCCGTCCCCCGCGAGCCTCCCGGCGGCCTGCACGCGGGCCCTGGGCGAGCCGCGGAGCTGGCCCTTGCAGGACGGCCGCGGGGGAAGCCCGGGCCTGGCCGCAGTTGGGGGCGACCCCACCCCGACCCTCGCGCCTCGTCTGCGGGGTCCGCCTCCCGCCCGCGTTGACCCTCCCGCAGCCTGCGGCCCCCGGCCCGGGCGGACGGGCCGGTGTCCAGTCCCGTGCTCGACGCCCCGCCCGGGGAAGGGCCTGGCGGGCCGGGAGAGGAGGGGTGCAGCGGGGGCGAGGGGTGAGCAGGGAGGCAGACGCACCTGGGGAGACACCGGGGACCCCGAAGGGAGGGAAAACACACCTACCCGGGTCCTGAGGGCGCCAGGGCGGGCGTCGGGGCTGGCATGGGCGTCCGCGGTGGCTGAGCTTGCAAGTGGTCCAAATGTCCTTTTCCCGGAGCGCCTGAGCCCTGGGAGGCGCCCGCTCTCCGGAGCCTTTCCTCCCTCGCGGTGGAGGCCCGCGCCCCGCACACCGAGCCTCGCAGGCGCTTGACCCATTGCCCCTGCCTACCTTTGCTCCACCGTCCTTGTCCTCGCCTGGCCGGGAAGACCGGCCTCCGCCTCCACACACCATCAGCCCTTCTACCCCTTGGGGTCCTCCAGGTCACCTCCACCCCCCCAAGCATGCTAACTCCCTTTTTGGGGGGTGTGGGGGGGCCTTTAGCACAGAGTAATTTTTTATAACTCCACATTTTGGCTTGAATTAAAGTGATTTTTATGTCTTTGAGGTGAGTTTCTCTAAATTCTGCAAAGTGCCCTGCCCAGTAGTGCTCCGTGAAAGTCACAGTGGATCAGATCTGCTGCCACTAATTGAAGGCGAACGAGTATCACCTCTTCTGTTCAAAAATGAAAGCGCATTTCTTGCTGAAATGGAGCAGCCCAGCTGGTGGGTTCTCACACACATGCTTTAGATGGCAGGACAAGCCCAAAATGCAGACATGGAGAGGAGAGTGAGGAAAAGGGAGACTAGGGAGAGCAGAGGGAAAGAACAGATTTGCCAGCCTGCAGCCAGGTGCCATTTAGCAACCCCAGGTAGCCTGTGCTCAGCTGAGGCCAGGGTCCAGGCAGGAGCCACAGGCAGCAAGCCAGTCCCCAGAGCAGCAGGCTAAGAACCCTCAAAGTGCCTAGGCAGCCCAGAGCGACCCCACCACAGGTGGGAGCTAGTCGGAGAGCCCCAGCCCAAGAGCTACAGGGGGACCAAGTGAGGAAGCCTCCAGCTTGACGGCCTGTTCTGTGTTTAAAGGCCACTGGCAGGCCCTGCTGCGCCCCTCACCCCAGCAACCCACTCCGGAGATGGAGCCTCAAGACCCGCTGCTCCCACGTTTCTGCTGCTGCCTGTCTCAAAATCGGTTCTTGAGACGTTTAAAGAAACAGGTCTTGGTGTGATGCTGGGGGAGCAAACTGAAGGGCCGCAGAGGAAAGATAAGGCTTTCGGGCCATAGGCATCCCTGCTGCATATTTGTCTTTGTCAGCTTTCTTTCAAGAACCCTATTAAAATGTAAAAATAATTCTTACGTTTTGGGCTGTACAAAAAAGTGCAATTTAAGTAATAGTGGGAATTGGGGTGTGCCACTTGTTGAAAATGACTGAAAATTGCAGTTTTCCTCTTTCTGATGCATGGGTCACCCATTTGTCATTGTGATAAGCACAACTGTTCAGCAGTGCATTTGAAACCACACACCCAATCAGCTTTTCCAGCTGGTGACCTGTTTGAGCTGGTACTTCCTCACAGCAGGCTGTCATTACGTGAAAAGTGACAAGGACAGCCAGGTCTGTGGACACTACAATATGAATAGTTGTTAACTATCGCTGGTACTTTCCATTTTAAAAACATATCTTCAGCCTACTCAGGAAGTGTCGTGTTTTTTTTAAAGATTTATACACACGAGAGTCGGGGTGCAGGCCAGAGGTGCAGGGGTGAGAGGATTCACCAGGGACAGAGTGGGGAACAACAGTTGGGTCAACTGAAATCCACTGCTGAGGGGAGCAGCAGGAGACAGGAGAGGTCTGCTGTGCCATGTGGGTAGCTCCCTGGCCGAGGATGGAACTCCTGCTGCAGTGGCTGCCCATAGCTTCCTAGTGCTGAGACTTAACCCTGCGCTGCCAGGGAGGCCCAAGAGCGTGTTTAGGCATGCTCCTGGTCAAAACTCCAAGACAAACCTCCAGAGCCTAACAAGACCTGAAGGGAGCTTTGGTCCCGGCCTCTGATCGCTCCCTGCCGGCTGCAGTGCCCTTGCGTGCCCACAAGGTGTCTGTCTTCCCCCGCGCGTTAGCTGTAAATGGAGTCCGCCCACATGTGTGACTGTCAGCTCCTCCCGGAGGGAAGACCGTCAGCGGGGCACCCTGGGGAGGAGACAAGTGTGGGCACCCACTTGCCATCTACCCATTCAAGGGCCCCCTTGCTTGGTCCTAAGTGCCCTTCCCTCCATGGTTTCCTACCGTGCTCGGCGACGGGGTCTAGCTCCATCCCAAGAACTGGCATGGCCCCCGGGCCCTGGCCTCAGCTCCAGCTCACCCTCCGGTGACGCCGAGTCGGCGGGGCTAACCGCGTTCCTCTCCGGGGAAGATCGAGTTTGCTCAGAAATCAAACCATTTTTTATTGTAAGCTCAGTTTGGAGCCGAATGTAGCCCCGCCTGGCTGTTAAAGCACCACTGTGCGGCCTGCCCATCACCGTGCCTCCGCCTGGCGTCCCTCCAGCCCCCCCTCCGTGATGCGCCCCAGTGGCTGAGAACCAGTGCTCTGTCCCTGAGCCCCTGGGGCGTTGAGGGTGTTGTGCCCAGCGTCGACCAGTGCAGCCCCCAAGGACACACAGACAACCGCTGTAAGAGCACAAAGGAGTTTATTACGGGCTCGAGACCGGGCCCTCGACACGCACCGATGTAACGGTGGGGGTCGGGAGCCCTGAACAAAGGAGACAGGGATCTTATATAGGGATACCAGTAGACTTCTAAAAATTAAATCATGTTGGCAGTCATTCATTAGTTACATAGGTGTATCATTCATTGATTACACAGGTGCATTTCTTAATAATGGTGGGTACACAGTTATTTTATGGCTAGTTTGACCCCATCATTGGCCTGCATTGCTCAGTTCTATTTTATGGCCAATTAGACCCATTACTGGGCTCCACTGTGGCTGGCCATCAGAGATAAGACCAGAGTGGGGTGGGGGTCATAAACCCTCTTTGGAATGCAGGCTAATTAGTCTTGAGTAAGCAAAACTTGAAATACCAAGATGGCGGTTATACACAAGATGGAGGAATAGTGGCTAAGTCTCACAGAGGGGGCAACTGCGCTTAGCCCTACTCTGTGGTTCTCTCCCCCCCCCCATTCCACGGTTGCTTTTCTCGGCCTCTGTGCTCCAGCGCGGGACCACAGATGCTGGGAACCACGTGTGGTCACTGTCTCCCGGGGGCGCCACAGCGGCTCGCACAGCAGGCTTTGGTCCGCGCACAGAACACAGGTGACACGCGAGATAACGGGCGGGGAGCGCGGCTCCGTCCAGAGCCGGGGCAGTGGGGGGACACTCCAGGTTGCAGCGGCGCCGGCACTGCCTTGTGCGTGTCAGTACGTTTCCTGTGCACCTCCCGTGCTGACCCCGGAACGAGGTCGCCTGCTCACACTCACCAGGACGCCTGAGGGTTCAGCGCTGTTTGCAAAGCACCTGGTGTCTCATTGATGAAGAGCAAAGCAGGTCTCCGCAGGCAGCCATGGAGCTAAGCTTTCGACCTGTTTGCGTCACGGGTGTAAGACTTGAGGGAAGCAAAGGGAATTTAATACACGTTAAGCGTGACAGACATGATCTATGGTCCTTGAACCCAGTGGTGCTCATTTAGCGAGGAAGACGGCAGGTCCTCGTTCCTGCCAAAGTTATCTTTTCAATTTGCATCCCCAAATCCTCCCCTGGTCCATCTGAGGGGTGATTCCTGCTCTGCACGGCATCCCCCATGTGGGAATAGAACGCATGACTTCCTCATCTCAGTGTCTCCCCAGGAAAGCAGGGGCTCCTGTTAGAAGTCAGCACAAGCACACCCCACCTCTGGGGCTGAGCGCACGTGAGCCTTGCTCCAGGCGGCTCAGCGCTGGGAGGTGCAGGGAGGAGGCACCTCCTGGGCTGGTGAGCACCTGCCAAGCTGAGCGCCTCAGAGTGCTCCGTGGAGCACCACACTGAAAGCAGAGGGCGCAGGAGGAGGCAGGCTGCCCAGGAGAGCGCCACAGAGAGGAGCCTGTGAAAACTCACCCCTTGCTCCTACCTCTCTCCGTTAGTCAGGTGCGTGCCCAGCTCCTGCCATCAA